GGGGGGTTGTTATGGAGAAAGAAACTGGTCCTAAAGTTTTGATAATAGAAAGGAGAAAGTAATAAAATGCAAGTGTAGAAATCGGTTATACTGATGAGTAGTATCTGCCACAAGTGTCGCATAGTTTGTCTTAAGAGAGTGTCTGTGTGTACAACAATATTGTCATTGTCACCTGATGGAGTGAGTGTTTGGGGGAGTGGTTTTGTCTTGAACTGAGGCTTCAACGTTGGTTAAAAAAAGAAGAATAATTGCATTTGTTATGATCTTCGCTCTACATGTGTTTACATTCATTCTACAATTTCATAAGTTTGTTTTGGAAAGATTTAATTCAATTACTTCCATTTTCTAAAACTTGAGGTCAATTTGTTCTGTTTACAATACAGTTTTAGAGGGGGCTCTCGAGGCCTAGAGGTTAAGGTGTTTGCCTTTCATTCAAAGGTCTCGGGTTCGAATCTGGGTAGTGACCGAACATTTTTTTTCTCTAAAATTGTCTCCTTTCACCTCCTTTCCTGCTCTCTAACAATGTTCTGTCATTTTCTTTCATCTCCTCTTTCTGCCCCCACCACCTCGCCTCCTTTGCCCCCTCCTCTGGGCTCCTGACTCTTCTACTGCTACTCCTTGGCTCCTTCTTACTGGTGTCTTTCAGCCACACCCCTGATCTTCTGGTAGGACAGATCTTACACATAGCCTTCTCGGACAAGGGCAAAAAATCTCGGACGGCAAGTTGTGCACGTTAAAGATCCCTTGGTGGTCTAAAATCGATAAGAGTAGGCTTCGGCCTTTTTTTTCTAAATATCTCAGTATTTTGTTCATGAATTTGTTCATGAATTACTTCATGAAATTGGAATTAAATGTTTGTTAAACTATCATTCAATCATCAATTTCATTTCTTGCCCTTAGGTCTGATAACAATGATATTAGTATACAAACATTGTTGAATCATGATAAATCACAGCATTTTTCGGGGACAATTTTTATCTTTGATGTTTTTGTTTCATATTGTATGATGTTTGATATGTCGGATTCCTTTGGTTTATTTCTAATTGATCATATAAAATAAGTAACCCCTCTAATTGTCTACTGATTGGATTGCCCCCCCCCCCCTCCTCCAGGTGCTGAGTTTTCCATGTACTGTGTCAATCATTTGTTGCTGCCAATGCTGCAGTCATGGCTGCGGCGAGGGGCACGTTGCTATGGTTACTGGAATACCGGCATTGTCAGCTTCAAACAGTCATGTGGACTTGTAGCTGACTTGATTGTGGAGTTTGTCACAGAGTTTACAGGTAATGCCCCATTATGTAAGCTGATATTAACTACTCTACTGAATAGGTGGTCACCATGCTTTCATTTGTGTAAATAATATATGTATCTACCACCTGGGTTTGAAACTGGGAGATTTGAATTTCTTTGACAGCATGTGCCATTTGTAAATGTGAAGGGCGCTGGTTACTGAGCTGGATGATGAAGAAAAGGAGGAGGAGGAAGAGGAGGAGAAAAAAGATGGAAGAATGAAAGGGGAAGGGGTAGGAAGAGACAGAGTGCTTGGCCAAAAGCTTCTTTCCGCAGTACTGATGGACCTGAATCAACTTGTGCTTTTTCAGTTTTTGAGGCTTGCTTTCACTTACATGTACAACTGAGTTTGTCTGTTTCAGGAGATAATACATATATATATATAGTGTAAAGCACATATAGCTTGCTGTTGAACGGGAATATGCGCTATGAAAATGCTATTTATTACTATTATTATATTATCATTATCATTATCATCATTGTTATTATTAGGAGATGCTGAGCTCCAGGCAGCGTTACAGCTCATTCTCAAGCAGACATTTGACGTGTTCATCGAGTGTGTGGCTCAGCCTGTGGAGAACATCTCTCGGCTCGGCTGCTCCTGCATCAGGTACGGCATATCTGTTGTTGTTCAAGATCTGGCTGTCTTAATAAACTATTGAAAATGTGCATTGTTAGCTCTGTTGTTGTTGTGCTTAGGGGTATGGTACAGACTTCTCTGGTTTGATTTCCCCAACGGGGGTGGGAGGGGGGGGGTGTATATTCTCGATACTTGGTTGTTTGAAGAGTTTTCAATGTCTCTGCCAACTTGCTTGATCCTATGGTAGATGGGTACTGTTAGATTTGGAGGTGCCATTGTTAAATGACCTTACAGTCAGGGATAAAAGTATTTCGTTTAAAGCTAAAAATCTGGCTTTTTAAAACTTTCAGGTTTCAAACTCTCAAGTCTGCCAGTAAAGTAAGGGTAGGCACTCTCTATGTTTGTTCACTGTTTATTCTTCTGTTTAATCCAATTGTAAATTTGTCGTTGTTTAGTTGTGAAAGGGGCCCACTCCAACCTGCACCAACATGAACACATTCAAATTTTACAAATGATAATAATAAATAGCATTTATGTTGCCCATTTCCATTTTCTAAAAAGTACTCAAATCGTATTACATTAAAAAAACCCATCACATCTTAAAAACTAATAAGTCATTAGTGGTTAAAGGGTGCCACTGGTGGGTTCTTTTCCTTTACTTTGACTCTCTGGTTTTTGTCTGTCTTGTCTTGTTTAGTCTTTTTGCTGCTCTAAAGGACCATTGTTGTGTTGATAAGCATCTGTTTTACGTGTGGACGACTTTAATTTATTTCAGGCACATTCTGCTGACCGCTGGTCCACATTTGTCAGAGACCTTGTGGCAGGTCGGAGGTCAAGCCGTGCACCGGGCCCTTGGGGTCACGACCTATAACTTGCGCCTCCTCATGGCACTTTTCCACCCCAACTCAGACAACTTTTACGGGGACATTGGACAGGTCAAGGTCGCAACCCGAAAAGACTGCACTGTGGTGGACTGCCTGAGGCTGCGGCAGATGGCTAAGCAGGTACGGTACTCTTTGGCGGCTTCGATAAACATGTTGTAATTGCTACAGCATGCTATGGGGGTGTACTGTTTTGGCTGATGTTTGCTCAGTTTCTAAGTGCTGAGAGTGAGATCAAGGTTACTTATACTTTTTCACTGATGGAAGCTATTGATTTTGTATCAAGGTGATTGATTAAGGATGTTGTGCTTAGAAAGGACATGTATTGCCAATGACAGTATTAAAGACTCCACCCCCTCTTTTTGAAAGTTGGCAAATAAATAATCTTCCCCTTCCCCTTCCTTTAATCCAGTGACAAATAATCAAATAATGTCCTCTTCCAAACTTCCCCCCCCCCCCCCCCCTCCCTCCTCTTTTCATTTTTCCCTTCACAGGTGTTTTTACTAGACAGCCAAGTATCCTCCATGCCTAGTGTCCAGTACGACACTGACCAGGACAAGTCCTTTGTGTTCCTCCTCTACCCACCTGGACACCAGGACAGCCTCAACCCTGACCACATCTCCACCAGGTTGGGGCAGATGTTGACTCATTAACAGAAATGGTGTTTGATGAATTTGGAAAACAAAAACAAAAAGAAAATTTGCCCATGTTGGTTAAGTCTGTGGTTGAATACCTGGGAGACAAATGTAGTTTTTATATGCTCTCACTTTTCTGAAAAAGGAGAACAACTACAAAGTCAAGTTATTATATTTATGGTAGTAGCAGATACTTGTCATGTTGAAACAGTCGGAACTGTTACTATTTCTTTCTAGTTGGAGATTTTAATGACTGCCTGGTTCATTTTGGAAATGTGGGTTATCTCTTGCATGCTCAGATGTACATTAGCTGTGATATTGGCTTGGGCGTACTACTTCTTCCTTCTTTCACTCTTTCTTCTGTACTTATTCCACTTCCCTTCCCTTTTTGAAATTATTTAAATGTGTTTAGTAGAGTGTTAAAACTATTGCAAAAAACTGTTTAAAGAGGAACAATGTTTACATGAGTGAGAAAGTAAATGTTCAATTATCGGGAACGTATGACTTGTCATCAGTGTCAATTCTGACTTTCACCATGTTTTCAGGGTTCCTTTCCGTCACGTGGTGGTGGGGCTGCTGTCCAATCAGCTTCTGCTTCAGACAGTCGGAGAGATTCTGTTGGATCGACAGGCAGACCAGAAAGAAGTCGGCTCTGGTGTTGGGTTGCCAGGTAAAGATGCAGCATTGTTGTTGTTGTTGTAATTTATGTTAGTCTGCATGTTAATTGTCACATTGTGCATTAATACTCATATTTTGGAACAAAACAGTAAAGAGACGAGGAATTTTTAATAGAGGTGAAAGGAGCAGTCTATATCGGAGTGTCCACTTACAACTTAAGAAGGTCATTGTCCCATCTTTGCTTGAGTGCTGTTGCAAAATGCGTGAGGTTGTTTTTATTCTTTGCACCTTCTTTCCTATCAAACATCTATCATTTTCCTATTTTGTGTTTATTACTCTCTTGTAACACCTCTAATATTTGGCACTTGTATGACCTAATTGTATCACAAGTGACATGAAATGCTTGCTTAAAGAAAAAAAGCAAAAACACATGAAAACCATGGCATCTTCACAATCCATCTGTCTTTCCACCCTCTCCCCCAGGTCTAATGCCCCACATGTCCACCCGCAATGTCCACCAACTCCTCTCTGCTCTGGACGAGACCTACCAGACAGCCCAGGATTTTGACGCGAGGCCAGGTCTAAAGTTTCTGCTCCAGAAGGTGGCGGGCCTGGATGTGGCGGCCAATTTGTACAAGCAAGCAGCGACGGCCGTCCTGTTCCACGTGCATTCTCTGCTGGAGATCAATGCTCACCTGGACAACAGCAGCATCAGCTCTACCAAGTATGTTTTGGCAGACAGGCATATCACTTTAGGAAAGGGAAAGATGTGGTCTGGCGAATTGTGTCGTTAATGACCATTACAAGTTGCTTGCCATTACTTCCTTTACTTTTGTTTTTACCCTGTCTCATTATCAGCAGGTAGCCCTCATGGTCTATAACTTCTTTTCCTCCTTGGTTGATAAAGGGGATCATCATTTTATGATAATAAATAATAATAATAATAATAGATAGCATTTGTACAGCGCATATCCCCACTCAACTGCAGGCTCTATGCGCTTTACATTATATTATTACCCCAGCAGACCATAGAACACTCCGAAATATTCTCAGCTTCCCGGGAAGCATACAGTGCGAGCAGCCGATTAAGCACTCAAACACTAACAAACTGACAAGATCTTTTGCTGTCTATAGCCGGGTACCCATTCCCACCTGGGTGAAGTGAGGAAAATTCGTGTAAAATGCCTTTCCCAAGGACACAACGTCGGGCCCTTGACGGGATTCGTACCCACGACCTTACGGTTGCGAGTCCGAGAGCCTAACCACTAGGCCACCGATGGTGGATGAACTATATGTATTAATATAAATTTGTAGTGAAATACGTCATCTTTATCATCTGTGGCGCAATGGTTACGCTCCATGGTTTTATATGCGGAAGATGCAAATTCGATTCCTGCTTGGGGAAATCTTTTTATAGAGTATCTCTGTCAATCAGTTGGGATGCGGTGTCACACTCAATTTGGGTTGTCTGTAACAGGCAGGGTTGAAGTATCTTATCTCTGACAGGGTCTATACTGTGTTGATTGGAGTGTATATTGTTCACAATGCTTTTGCAACTAAAAAGACAGGTGAATTTACTCTAACGTCCACCTGTACAAGTCAGTCACTTGTACAAATGACCACTTCCCTCTGTCCCGCTTGTGTTTCTTTTATTCTATAATGGCACAGTACCCCCCGGGCAGTGCCACTGACTGAAGTGTCTTTAGGCCATTCCCAAAGGGGGGACATATCTTTTTCAAGCATAGTAGAATTGTAAATGGGCTTATTCATGTCACACTCATAACTGTGCCTGATCTACAACAAGGAACTGCAGCTTTTTCTTTCCCGATCCTTACTATTGTCATTTCCTCTACTTCTTTTGTATGTTTGTCACTACTTTGTGACCTGCTATTTTGGGGTGCCTTGATAGTCGAAGCAGATCTTGTGCTGTTGAAGCAGAGTAAGTCTGATTCCCTGTAAGGACTCCTCTGTTGACATCCACCCCTTGGCTTTCATATGACCCTATGCAGTTGCGAGCGCCGTAAAACCTTCTACTATAATAATAAAATAATAATAAATGACACTGTCCAAGACGTCCTCCTATCTAAGACATCCACTTTTCTCTTGGACAATGGGTGGCTGTCTTTTGACAATTTCAACTCATAAACATTGTCTCAATTAGCACGTGTCATATAATGGTTAGGCTCTATGCTGTTGGATGCAGAAGACATGAGTTCGATTCCTGTATAGGGATGTCTTTTTACAAAGTATCTCTGTCAATCTGCTGGGAGGCCATATCACACTCACTTTGTGTTGGCTCTGACACACTAGGTTAATAAGTAACTTGTCCCTGACGGAATCTTTATTGTGTTGAATATAGTGTAATAAGTTTACAATTATTTTACTATAAAAATATGTAGTTATGTGCCATTTTATCCAGGAGAATAAATGTCTCGTCATAATGGCTTGACTTGGCTTGGCTTTGGAAATGGAGATTATAGAAGCGGGCTGAAGTTTTATTTTTGAGCATACCCGATCTAAATATCGCTTTATGCTGATGTTCTGTTCATCAAAACTGTCAAATCGGATACAAGTTTAAGCTCCCACTTCTGCACCTATTCAGCTTCACACGCAGCATACACTTAATACTCACAAACACAAAGAGCACTTTAAAAAATGCAGTGTTCATTTTATTTTTTGTAGTGTTTGGAATGCTAGCCGTGACCTTGAGTAAGTTATTTGTGTATTTCTGCTTCCTGTTACTAATTGCGTGCTCGGAAAATAATTAAGTTTGGCTGTGTAGATTATAATTTGACTCGTAGTTTAGAATGCTACAGGTATGTCGTCCTTCTATCCTGTTTACTTCTTATGTCTTCGTGCTGTCTTCCTTTTTACTAGTTTTGCCTCTTTTGGTGTGTGGTTGTTAGATGCTCTGGTAAGGTTTGCTCCTTCTTTCCTACAAACATCTATCGTCCTTATCTCTCCTCCTTCTTTTCTTTGTATGTTGCTCTTCAGTAGTAATAACTCCTAACTTTCGGCACTTATACAACCTATTTGTGTTGCAAGTGCTGTAAAACTCTTACTAAAAATCAAGCAAAGGAACAGACAAATCTGACTTGACCTTTTGTAGGTGGTGCAGGTTCACCTTCTGTTTGTGGGTCCATCGTGCTCCCTGCTTGGTTTAGCTTTTCTCATTCTTGTTTTATTTTCCCTTTTATGTTTTTGACAGCTGCATATTTTTGCGTGTGAATAATTTTTATTTTTTTTATTGATGAAATGTGGCGGTTGTCATGGTGACTCGCTGGGTATGAGGACTCCGCAAGACTCATTTTTGTCATGGTTTTTACTTCTGTGTTGTTTTCATTGCTTCAGCAGGCTAGTAAGGCAGACCATCTTCTAGTTAGGAATTATTCTTTTTTGTGCTTCTTTTTGTTTTATAGAAAAGAAGTTATTTTTTTAGAGAATTGTTATTTGGTGTATTTTTTTGTTGTTGTTGGGGGTAGTGTGGGATTCCTTTTTTTTTTTTTTTTTGGCTTTAACTTTAAGATAAATATGAGAGGTGAAAAATAGAATGTGGATAGAGAAGTCATAAGGACAGACGAAGAAAGACAGGAAGAGGGAAGGTTGAGAAGAAGGATAAGGGCTGCTGCAGATTATCTCTTGCAAGAAGATTGTTTTTTCCCAATTCATCTGTAAGGTTTACTGAATAAAAGTGATATGAGGATGGGATTATTTGAACTGCAGATTTCAAGGCTCCATGGGGAATCTTTTTATTATGCAATCTGTCACATTCTGTCCATGTTTTGAGTATGGACTTAGTGGGTCACACTTCGATCGTTTTTCGACACTTCCCCCTTTTTATGGCTTGGGTAATAATCTACCCTTACTGCTGATTAAAAATGAGATCAAATGCCCATATCAGGCTATTGTATTCAATTTTTGTTGTTTTTGTTATTATTTTTTGTAACTGTAGTTGAAGATACGACTCATCCATAGCAACTGTTATACTTCCCTAGGCCCAGCGTTCATGCAAACTGTAACAAAATTGTCTTTAGATATGAAAAAAAGTAAGTTTGAGTAACCTCTTGACCCCATCATTAAAATTTCTTTTAATTTTTTTGGCAGTGATTTTTTAAAATGTGGTATCATCATCATCATCATCATCATCATCATCATCATCATCATCATCATCATCATTGCCTTTCCCACTCTGAATCAGGGTATAGGCCACGAACAAACGTTTTCCACCTTTCCCTATCCTGGACTAGCCTCTTGATATTATATTCCACATCTTCCCACTGTTCTGTACATAGAATTGCTTTGGCTTACCTAAAAATGTTCTTCCTCCTATGTGCCCCCCCTCCTCTTCCACACTCTTCCCCCCTCCTTCTCCACACTCCTCCTCCACAATTCCCTCGCCCCTCTTCCTCTTTCACACCACCCCTCCTCCTCCACACTCTCCCCCTCCTCGTCCTCCCCTCCCCCGTCCCCTTACCTCAGGGCTGCCATTACTCCCATCGCTGAGACACCAGAGACCCCCGTTGCCTCATGGCCGACCATCGCTGAGATCAAGCACACGGCTGGGATGTCAGTGGGTCGCCCCTGGACCAATGGCAGGCTGTTCCTGCCACTGCTGCAGAACGTATGTGAAGAGCTGTGTCAGACGTACGTGGAAGTGTTGCAAGACTCGGGCAAGGGCTCTATTCTGGATAAGATCTCGGAGCAACCAATCTTTTTCCTGACGGCTCAGCACGAGGACATTCCACTGATCACCGCTCGGGCCCGACTCGCTGCAGCAAAGTCAAGGTCGTCAGATTCTTCGTCGTCTCTGCACAAGTCTGTAGATTCTTCTGGAAAAAATGAGCCCATTGAGGCTGAGGGTGTGCGGTCGGATGGAATTGTCTCAGTGGCTGTGGAAACGCCTCAAAGTGAGTGAATGTATAGATTTTTATGGTTAAGAGTCCCCTCTGATTCTATTCGTTTGTCTTTACAATAGTGCTCTTTGACTGTTTGGTTCATTCTTGTATTCTTATTTACTATCTCTGTCCTCTGTACGGACAATCAGTGTTGCACACTATTATTCGCATACAACTATCATTCATATTTTCTTTTGACTAAATGTCTTTTTATGGTCAGGTTTTGTATCTCACTGACTGACAACTAGTGCCTCTTTATAGCATGACCATTTGTGCGGTGGGTTTTTTCCCATATATTCTACCTCAGTCCTCTGAAAGGACAAACTGCGTTGCAGTCTACTAAACGTAATAAAATGCAGTTCAGTTTTTCTTTTGTTACTTATTGCCAAGTACTCATTAGCATTTGGGTGAATTTAGGTCAAAGTGTCTTTCCTGCATTTTTTATTTCCTATCCAACTGAGCTGCAGACAGAATCCATGATCTTTGAGTTTTCAAATATAACATGTTGTAGAGGTTTGTGAGTAATCTGCAGCTTATGGTGACAACTGGAAAAAAGTACAGTTGAGCACAGCTAATACGAACTGGGAAAACTCGAAATCTCAGATAGCTCTTACTATTTGCCATTCCCCGACTGATATCTGTTTAATTTTTCACAATCAGTTAATCTGAAATATAATGGATGTGCGGAACAAATTGGTCAGTAACGTACGTGTATTAGTCCATGCCGGACTGTAGCTGTTATTCTGTCATTGTGTCTACTTGATTGGGCTATCTGTATAGGACAGTGGTTCTAGTACTTTAGTAGCTTTCACTATTTTTTTGTTTTCATGTCAATTGATATTGTTAGTTTGGGCATTTATATGACCCTTTCGTGTTGCAAGTGCTGTAAAACTCCTATTAAAACTTTTATAAAAATCTGTTAGCTCTGTCACTTTTGGCTTCCATGTTTGTTTTTCAGACCAGCTGGATTCTGATGCAGACTCTGACAGTGACTTAGAGAAAGTTCGAAGTGAAGATGGAGATACAGAGAAAGGAGAAGGAGAGGAAGAAGAACGAAAGAAGAGTAAGAGGGAGATACGCCAGGATTTGGAGAGTAAGGTGAGTGGAATGTCAATTCATCTGTCATCCAGTGAGTCCATCTATCTTTCCTTCTGTTCATTTAGTTGAATATTTATCCTTTTATCAGTCTATCTGTCAATCTATCTTTTTGTTCGTCCATTTATAGGTCTACTTTTCTATTGATTGAAGGATCCTTTCTACCATTCTACTGTGTACCTCCTTTCATTTATTCTTCATTTCATCCTCCATCCATCCATCCATCCATCCATCCATCCATCCATCCATCCATCCATCCATCCATCTGTCTGTCTGTCCGTCCTTCTGTCCCTCCCTCCCTCTCTCGATCCATCCATCCTTCCATCTGTCTTTCCCTCATCCATCCATCCGTCTATCCATCCATCCATCCATCCATCTGTCCATCCACCCATCCATCCCTCCATTTTCCAAATAACACAATGTACTCCTCCCCCCCTCATCCTCCTGTTCCCAGGTGTACACAGTAGCCACTGACCAGGTGATCGAGAACCTGATGTCTCAGTACAAAAGACACAAGCACCAGAGGTCTATGCCTAACTTTGTCCGCCCACCGAAGTTCCAACGGTCAAAGATGAAGGTCCCCCGTCGTGAGGCTGTTGATGAAGCCATTGATAAACAGCACAAGTCCTCTATAATGAAGGTGGGTATGTGTGCTTTGCCACGGAAGAGGAGGAGAAATGCACTCATATACGAATGCTGGCACTCTCACGCACTCGGACACATAGGCACAGTTTTTTGTTCTTTCTCCTGCTCTTCTGTTTGTCCGTCTCTTTTTCAATGCTGAACTCTCTCTCTCTCTCTCTCTCTCTCTCTCTCTCTCTCTCTCTCTCTCTCTCTCTCTCTCTCTCTCTCTCTCTCTCTCTCTCTCTCTCCCTCCCTCCCTCCCTCCCTCCCTCCCTCCCTCCCTCCTTCTCTCTCTCTCTCTCTCTCTGTGTCTCTCTCTCTCCCTCTCTCTCTCACTCTCACTCTCTCTCTCTCTCTCTCTCTGTCTCTCTCTCTCTCTCTCTCTGTCTCTCTCATCTCTCTCTTCTCTCTCTTTTCTCTTTTCTCTCTGTCTCACTCATTTTTGTTTTCTCATTTCTCAGTCCATCTCTCTCTCTGTCGATCTGCTCCTGGTCCCCTAACCCCCTTCACATTCTCTCGCTTCTTTCTTCCTTTCCTCAGGACAGTGAAGCTCACCTTCAAGCCTGGGCCGACACCCTGACTGCCATCCTTCAAATGACTTTGAGCCTTCCGGACTCCAGTTTCTCTGCCCTTCTCCCCGTGACCTTCACCTTTGTGAGCCAACTCATCTTGTACGCCACAGACTCTGCGCTGCGAGATCAGCTGGCTCAGTGCTTTAACAGGTTGGGGCGGATGTACGACTTTGCCCCTCCGGCCAACGCCAGTCTCCCTCGTACCAGAGACAACAGCTCCAGTAAACACAGTCTACCTTCTTAAGTAATTTTGTGATTTCACAAGTGAAAAGACACGACATCGAGTCCATAATTAAAGGTGCTTGTGGCTCTGAGACTTTCGTGGGGCGTGAATGTTTATTGAAACCATCCGAAGCTCAGAAATATTTTGACGGCTTTGGTCTAGGCACCCATATTTAATGCTCTGAGAAAAATGAACCTTTTCAGTTACAAGTTAAATCCATCTGGGCTATTTTTATCTCAAAGGGTCATAGTTCCACACTGATTCAAATATTTACAATTTAAAATAGCGGTACAGGGAAAGAACCACAGAAGTCCATGAGACTCCAGGGACGAAAGGCAATTGTCCACAATGATTTCTCAGTTACTACTGCAATCTTTCCATCCCAGTCTTCAAGTCTTTATCTTTTCTCAGTCCAGCCTCTAATAACAGAGAGACAGTGTTAAGTCAGTGTAACTTCCTTTGGAAGAAGAGAAAAAAAAGTAGTTGAACTTTGATTCAATATTTTTTTTTTACCTGTAAAAACATGATTTTGTGAGAGGTTCCTTGAAATAATCAGTGTATTTATTACTGGAATACAGTGGTGATAATTTCCGAGAGTTAGTGATGTTGAGTGCCTGCAAGTGCTGACATTTTCTGTATGGTAATGGTGATTTTTGCCTCAGGAGAATGAATCTCAGGAGGGATATTTGGATCAACAGTCCTGGTTACTGTTTAATCATGTTTTCATAGGATCCTGTCTACGGATTAATGAATGAATTAGTGCTGAAAGGGAGAGAGGGAGGATTTTTGACTACCGGTACTACATTTTTAAATCAATATGAATATTATTGAGATAAAGGGTTCTTTGGAAGCATCTGACACATTTGTCTCAGTACCTGGTTTGTTCCTGGTTTGTGCTGGCATGATGATTATTGGGTATTTTTGTGTTGAAACCTCTGAATCCAAGTAAGGTGGGATCGAGGAGGACTTTGTCATTTCATATGAAGACTTGAGACTGACACCTTCTGTATGTTAATAACGAGTGAGACATTTTGTGGATGAAGTTTAGAAAGAAGCAATCAGCCTTGTTGAGCTGACTGTGCAAAATTCTTTTTATATCCCATCTAGTAGTGAAGAGACAGCTGTTGGAATAAGGAAAAATTAAGAGTGTAGTCTGGAAGCCCAGAGACACTCTCCAAGAAAGAGAAATCATTTGTATAGCCGACTTCCCATCTCATGTGGTTTAAAAGGTCGGTCATGCAGAAGGAGAGAGAGTTTTTTCTGTAAAGTGCTGTCTTCCAACATTCTAAAGAAGAAATTTTTTTTGAACGAAAGAAAGCGAGGACTTGAAGGCTGAAAGTCTCTGAATGTCACCGAACTGAGTTTTGCTAACACTATCAACAACCCAACAAGCTGCTTTGACTCCCATTTAATCTGAGACATCGGGGATAACAATAAAGTTTTCTGTCGGCTTCCTTGTTTCCATAATGAGTTCTCTGAAGAAATTATGGAATAGATATCTACTGCTAAGTGTAAGACTCAGTCATATGTCACTTTTCAAATTGGCCTCTGGGGGGAGTCTTACACTAAGTAGTCAATATGTCTGAGGTAGCTGCACAAGGGGTAGTTTTGAAATTAGTGTCTCCTTTCCTTATGTGCAATAACCTCAGCTAGCACACTGCAATGGGATGCGCTCTCTTGATAGACATTTTGTTAGAAGATTTCCCTTGGGTATAGGACTGTGTGACTAAAGGAAACTGGATGGGAACAGCACTAAATCGTTGAAAGTGTAGAATTAAATGGTTGACAGACATGGATTGGCTGTAGTTGATTTTGTGGAGAATGCAATGTACACACTTGCGACATGCAGAATAACTCTTACGCATTTTGCAACTTTTACTGTATTCTATGTTTATGTATTTCAACTAAGTGCAATATTTTTAATAGATCTGTATACAACATTGCAATTGGTCTGATTGTTTTGAAAATAATTTTATTTTAATAACAGATTTTTCTTGTAAATCTACAAGTTTGCAACTGAGTGCAGTCTACTTAAAACAATATTGCACCGTTCCCTCTATCTCTTGCAGTAATTTTGAGATATGTTCTGAGGGTTTTCTTGTTGTTGTTGCTGTTGATTTTCATCCACATGATGTTTCAGATCTGTTCCGCTGTGTTCGTTGCGTTTTTCGCAGAAAAAGTTGTGACAAATCCAATTTACCCTAATGTTGTTGACGATTTGAAGGCTTCTGAATTTTGAGAAGATTGTCCTCAGTATTGCATGATGATTGATACTGTAGTTGGTGGTGGTAACTAGTCATTGGAGTTTTAGTTCAAATGGCTACTTTGTGATGCTTAACTGTAAAGCTTTGATCAAATGACTGGTCAGCTGTGGTCAGTAGGTTGTAGAAGTAGGTAATAGAAAGGAGGCAGAATGTTTATGTTGTGGGATTTATTTTTTGTGTTCGAACCCATCAGGTTCAATAATGAAATTTTGAATGTACTGAAATGTTGTAACATTGGTGCTGTAGAATGTTTACTTGTCTTCTGTTTTGTTGTTTACGCACATGTTCGTGTTCAGTGGACACTGATAGTTGTAATTACATTCTAGGAGATGAAACTCTTTTATCTTGTTTATGCAAATGCCTTTGCTATGTGGGCGTTGATCTTGTTAACTTCACTCAAGAAGATGTTGTAACTCTTTTGTGTTGACTTGTGGAAGAATACTGCATAAAATTGTTCTGTCTGTTTTCCTGATAGGTTCTTGCATTGGATGCCTTGCTAGTGAATTATTTTACTTTGTGGGATTAAGTGCTTTTGTGTTTGAAATCTCGTCATTCTGTGACTTGCGTCTATTCTACTGCATGCACGAATTCTTCCCACCGATGGATATCTCTGCATGCGTGTCATATCAGCACAAGATACGTGTATGCTTGTCTTTACCTGTGATTGTGAATCCTCCTTTATTCTTGGTAGACAAACATGTAAATCTGCATTGAATTTATTTTCTCGATTCATTATGATTGCACATTTCATTCAAAATGCAGTCTATTTCCCTTGTATTTCCTCATTGCTATTGTTATTATATTATGCAGTCAAACCCCTTTATACTGTCAACCATGGGTTGAGCATGAAGTTGGCGGTTTAGCGAGACTGATGTATAACAGGGTTTTAATTTTAACTCTTTGTCTCCAAGGGTAGGTAAACTCAATGTGCTGGGGCCCTGTTTTGGTATGAAATGCAAAAGTGGCATATACGTCACTAAATTGGTCATTGAATCAGAGCAAGTAAACCTAATTTGATAGGATAGTTTTTCATCAAATGAATGAACTCCCAGTAAACGAGACCTGTTTTTGGCAATTGCTGAATAGTTTAAGTAATTTGGCTTCAAAGTCGTCGTAAAGGAATGTGCCTGAATCGCTGCCAGCGGCTCACCGGCACAGCGGTTCCAACCGCGAGCCGCTCTGGAGGTAAAGAGCTAATGCAGTTCTTAGTTAAATTGCAACAATTGCCCAAAGCCAAGGGAAAATGATTCCTCCATGATTTGATGAAGGACAACATTATATTCCGTTATTTTTTCCTTTGTCCAAGACTTGATGACATGGCCTCTGCATGTGATGATCGCAGTCTTGCTGAGTCGTTTGTAAGAGAAAGGGAGATTATCACTGCATAGCTGCTGGGTGGATGCCATGCGTAAGACATAATATTTTTTATGTTTTAAAAAAAAAATAAAGGCGTTCCTTTTCAAGCATTGGTATAACCTGGCGGTAAGTGAGGCTGACAGTATAATGTATAAAGGGGCGGTATAACAGGGCTTGACTGTATATAATGTGCCAGTAAGTTATTACATTGTGGTATTTTTTATTTATTGTTTTTTCAGTTTGTGATATATAAAAATGTGATACAGAAAATTTTTTTTGTTTATAGTTGTTTTAATCTATTCTTTACTTTTTGTCATTTTAATTTTATCTTAGAAATATGCCATTGTCATGTGCAAAATATATACCTCATTGTATTTGTGTAAATTTCAGGTTATAAATTTTTGTTTTAGTTTTGAATTTGGAATTCAGATGTTATCCATTTGTTTCAGAAGTTGTGTTGACCATCTTTGTCGTAATCTCCCTCCTAAGAATGCTGCCCAAGAAGCTAAGGATGATTAGTAAAGTTATACAGAGTCTGTCAGGGAATTCATTTGTTGTCATGTCTAGTACTAGTAGGGATATGCTCTATATAAATACTATTTGTCATTGTAAGTAAAATAATTGTCCCCTTCTGTCATGTTCAGCTGCTTCCCCTGTTTGTACAACCCAGGCCATTTACACCCCCCCCCTCTCCTTTTCATCTCCACCCTCCAGTTCTGGTTCTTCCCTGTAAAACTAGCCATTTCATTAAAAAAAATTCTAAATGGAGGTGTTTTTACTCCCCATTTGACACAATTTATATAATTTAGGAGGCAGGCTTCCGCTGGTCTGGGCCAACCTGCACTGAGGGGGAAACAGCATTCCAGCAGAAAGACAATAAAATGTTCACCCCTCTCCGGAATTGAACTCGGGTCTCTTGCCTACAACAGAGAAACGCCTAACTGATACACCACAGACGCTGGTCTAGTCATCTCTGATTGGACAACAGGCTCTGACATCACTAGGACAGCCTGTCTGTTTCTCTCTCCAGAGCAGTATTGTTACTTAGAGGAATCACAGTGTTGTTTTGTACAATGTATTACGTCACAAAATGTGTGTTATTGTGGGGAAATCATGTGCTTGTCAGAAAATTGAAATTGAAGAAACTGACATTTGTCTGCCTGTTAGAACATTTTTATCAATTTTTTTTTACGGCACAAAGTTGATCAAAAGCATAAGACATAAATTTTCAGTTTCCGATAGACACTCATGCTTTGGAAGTCGCCACATTTTGGCAGCCATTTTTAGCCTGATTGTACCTCTGTCGATGTGCCAGTGGTACCGCTTGTGTTGAAGTAAAGATGTGGACAGTGTTTTGTTTTGAATGTTAGAAGGTTTGCTTATTTTCATTGACGTTTCTGTTTGAAACCTCATTACTTATCAGCAGTTTAGCACAGTTTAACATAACATAAAATGGTGTTTAAAATTACAAGATCTTGAATAGAGTTGCTTTTTGTTCTACCGCAGTCTATTGTTAACTCTTCGAGCCCTGGCTCTGTATGCCTATAGGTATTTTACACCTGACCTCTCAAGAGATGACTTCTAGATTTTATCGTTGCAAGCTGAGATGTGCAGTCAGAATATAGAAGAGTAATGAAGGTTTAAGGTAGTTGTAAAAACTGCTGATGAAAGTTTTTGTTTCCATTTCTTCTTTATGTTCTTCTTAGAAAGGGTTAGGTGTCTTTTGTTTTGAGAATGAGGACTTTGTTGATGAAAGATATTTGTGCTGAATAGATAAAAAGTTTTAAAATATTTAAAAGCTCTCTCATGGGTGAATCTGTAAAATATACTGGTGGGTTGGTGGAGTGATAATGAAGAGGTTGAGGTTGTTACTTGAACTTGTACTTATAAACACTGTTCTCATTACTTACCACCTGCAGCTTCTGTGCATAATGCTGCCTGTTAAAATTCTGCGAGATCTTTTTATATTCTTCATGTTATCAGTCTCTTATTTATTCCCAAATGGTGTGGGCATGTAGTGAATGTTTTTGATGTGGGGGATATCATGTGTTTTATTGTTTGATCAATGTGAAGGAGGGTTGGAGTAGTTTGTGTCCTTTGAGAAAATTTTGAATACTTTTTTTTTAGCATCTTTACATTTGTGGTATACTTTCAGCTGTGTTCATCTGTTACATTCTTTGTCAAAATCAGCGTGTATTTTTTTGTCATTTGACAAAATGTATCTTTTCTTTAATGTACATTTAAATTATTTTTATATTGATTCATTTAGTGCAAAAATGAGGAGAGGGTGGTGGTTCATGAAGCCTGTTTTCTACTGCCAAAGTTACTTCAAATGTTTTCCTGAGGATTCCTGCAGAGGATTTATTTATGACTAATGATTAATTCGTGTATAGTGAATCTCTTGTGTTTTTAGGGTTTTCACACACTTGATCCTAAGACATTGAAATTTAAACTTTTAGTCTTGTAGTCTCTTCAGGTAAGGAGGAAATTCGCTTAAGGTCAAAAAACAGTAAAAAGTCCCAGATCCGGTCTGTCAAGACCAGATGTTCTGGCAGAATTGTAAATCCACATTATGTTCTCAACACTGTGGAAACTCTTTTCTGTCAAAAAAGAAAAACTATGAACAACTTGAAAACAGCATTTGGCTACCTGATCAGTATGGAACCCTTCACTATCATAACTGTGGAATTAAAAATGCCCAGCTAAGTCTGACAATCCAGCTGACGAGCTCAGAAGAAGTAATCTTATTTTGTTTTGAAAGTAGAAAACCTAAATAAATATAATCCACAACAGGTGAGTTTTTGAATCATCAGCTTCACAATAAAGGTAGATACTTCTTTGAACTCGTTTTCCCTTTTCTCGCAACAATTTGTTTGTATCTTTTACTCAGATTTGCTCTCATCTCTTGTTAGCGATCAATGAAATGTTTTGTGGCACTACAGTGGAAGCCAAAAGGCATCCGAACAGTATTAGATCCATCAGTCCAGGTCCTTGGGTTATATCATGTGCCACATTCTTTTGTAAAGTTGATAAGTCAGAATATGATATGTCAGATCTGCATTTGTCTCGTTTTTGTTGGGAATTCAGTGGGTGGTTTGCTGTACTCTTGTGTGGTTTGCTCCTTCTTTCCTATCAAACGTCTATTGTCCTTATCTCTGCTCCTTGTTTTCTTGGTATGTTACTCTCTAGTAACACCTCTAATCTTCTGCGCTTATATTACCTATTTGTGTTGCAAGTACCATAAAATTCGTACTAAAATTGTGGAAAAAGAATTGCAAATCCAACCCCTCATATAAGACCTTACCCTTATGATATGATAATTATATTATGACATATTTTGTATCTTGAAAAGATCCTTTCAAAGTCAGAATTCTTAGTCGAGGATTTAGTCTTGACATCCAATGTGTAGTTTGTAATTGAATCACTAAACTGATTGGCAGATTCAAGTTTAACTAGTGTAAGGGAAGGAAATAACCTGCTATATGCATGGATTTCATGTAGTGGTAAGCATGTCATATGACTTCGGCTCATCCTACTCTCATTTACACGCACGATTTCTGAATGACAGAATATGTCTCACCAAATCCAAAGTTTTCAATGGTCATGTGCAATATGGGAGCATGCTTTTGGGTATTGTTGTTATATTGTTACTTTGATTTTCAATATTTGATGATCTTTGTGTGCAAATAATTCAACGGTGGCACTGTGCAATGAACAGACTTTACTGTTTTGAGAAGTGTCATTTGTGTTTGTATATCTTTCTTTGATGTGCATGGTTTAAATACATAATGTCTAATTTATTGTGCATGAAAGTATTTACAGAGTAAGAATGTTCATATCGTGTATCTAAACAAAACATCCTTTGTAATCTATTTAAAAAGAAAAGATTTTAAAATGCCCTTGATTGAGTTGTGTACAATATGAACTTCATGGAATAGCTGTACACTTGTCATCATTTAATTTTCCATACTTTATTACTCAATGACTGGTCTGGCTGTTATAAGCAAGACAATCACGGTACGCATTCATATTATTTATTATTCTTTTTATCCTTGCCATTGTTATCATTTTAATTTTCTTTGTGGATGCTGTAGACAGTCGTGTCAAACTGAAGGCAATTTATTTCTTTTCTAAAAATCCCCCACAAATACGGTTTCATGGCCTCTGTCAAAAAAAAAAAAAGAATACTTGTGGGGTCAAACCTGTGTTTCAGCCTTGACTTTTGGCGGATAGTAATATACGTGCCAAAAAATAATGGACAGCTGTGTCCAGTTAAAGGCACTTTATTTCACTCCTATAAATTACAACAACGAAAAAACCCAGCAAATTTGATCTTGTGGCCCCTGTACGATGGAGTACTTATACAGTTAGATGTTTCAGCAGAAGGTCTTCTCATAACATGTCAGAAGTTACTGAATAAATGCATTTAGCCATTTAGGGGGAAAAGACGCTTGCTGCAAAAGTTGTTCGCCTTATTAAGGTGAAAGAATTAAATAGACAAAGACTGCAGATGAAAAGACTTCATTAACAAAAGAGCGGTGTTTTAGTCTACTTCTTGTCAGTGTTGACTCGATGATGTCTACTATGATTAGGGCAAAGTAGAACAGTAGGCTGCACAGAAATAATAGAAAAATAAGAATGAAAAAGAACCTGAAAGATCAGAACAATGAGAAAGTAGTGGATCTCTCCAGAGGGTCATGGGTATAATAGCAAATATGGAAGACAGAGTAGAGCCAACATGTCTAGATTAGGTTCAAATTATGTGTCAACAGTGAATAATATGGTTCAGATCTAAGTTTATTCATTGCTTTGAAAAAGATGAGTGGCTCCAATTATTTTTTTTACTTACCATGTGAATCAAAGTCAAAGTAAGTAATAGTAATAATAATAATAGACTGCATTTATATAGTCATTTTTTTGTTTTGCAATGAGCAATACACTCTTTTGTGTCACTTCAAAATTCAGGATGACAAGTCCATTTGTGCCCCTCAAACAAGCCAGAAATAATATCTTTTTAAAAAAGGGCATTTTGACTCTGTGTAGAACTATGTGGTTCGGTTAAAAATTGTTCATTTAGTTCTAATAATATTTGATCAGTGTTTAATGGGACAACACGTCTATTTGAAATCCTTTGAAGTAACCTGGCAGGTATATTGCCCTGCACTGCCAACTCTTGCAGAGTCCCTCCACACTGTTATATGTTCTTTCCTGGTCCCAACCCCTCGTTGTGATGATGATAATGATGATGATGTATAACTAATAAATGTGTCAGTCTTGTCTTGTGGCCGTTTTATCTCTTGTTAATTTTGCCATTCTCCATTCATGATTTGTGGCACAATAAAGTGTAATTTGACCTAAATATGGTGCGATCATAATTGTTTTGTTTTTGCAAGAACTTTCTTTCTGGGTGGAAGGCTGGCTGGCGCTGCAGTGTGGTTTTGTTTCTAACAAGCATCTATTGTCCTTATCATGTTACTGTTACTCTCTAGTAAGACCTTTAATCTTCTTATCGGCACCTAGTCGACCTATTTGTGTTGCGAGTGCTGTAAAACCGTTTGAAGTGGGTGGTTGGAGGGTGTTCTTGTGTGGTTTGCTCCTACTTTCCTATTAAAAAATCTCTATCTCCCCTCCTATTTTTTTTGTTTGTTACTCTCTTGTAACACCTCTAATATTCGGCACTTATATGACCTTTTTGTGTTGCAAGTGCCGTAAAACTCTTACTAAAACTGAAAAAAACCTTTGATGACAGGCATCCTAGGTGCAGTCTTCTCGTCCTACATTTTTTCCCTGTTGCTATTGTCTAATTGTGTTCATGGAGAAAATAAGTGATGTCACACTGACTTGCCATACATCCAGATTTAACAAAATGGTTTGTGGAAGAGACAGCAGAGATGAGAAGATGACAGGCAGCATAACACCACAGTGGATAAATTCCTTGACATTGGAAATTTTGTGAAGTCAGATCCTGGACTAAAGGCATTTCTGAACCTTGATAGTGTTTATTAACTGGGTATGACCCATCACTGGGTTGTGCTAAGGGAAAAATGCACAGTGGGGTCTGCTTAAACCAAAATCTGAGGGACCGCTGGATTTTCTGCGTTTTAATTAAGTTTGCGGTTTAGAGGGGTTGCTCAAAATGAAGAGAGAATAAAATCCTTTCAGCTTAAACTACTATTTTCGGATTAACCGTTGTCAGTTTAAGCGGACTTCACTGTAAATCCACAGATATTGCTGTTGTAATAGTGAAAAATATTAACCTTAGCCTCCAAACAGGGTGAAGCAATAAATGGTGACCAGCAATTAGTCGCGCATTAGTGAGCAAGAACATGCGTTTGTGGGTATCTGAACCAACAAATATGAATACAAATATTATTTCTTTGTCTCCGCAAGGAAATGCTATCTTAATTTCTTTACCCTCTAAAAAACCAAGACCGTTGTCGAGTCCTGTGAGCTCTCAGTATTTTGCCAGAAGAAAGTCTACAAGTAAGTGGTAACGAACCAAATCTGAAGCTTTGACTCTCCATGTAATATGAGCCGAAACTTAGTTCACCACAAGAGAGCCCAGCTCATCTGATAAATTATGTCTTTTACATTACTAAAACTGTGACCCAGAAGCTCTTTTGGGCTAAGAATCTATTGATCTCATGAAGGACGACAAAATTTCCCAAAATGACATTGAACACTTGACCGTAACACGTTCCTTGCAAGGGAGGTCTCCATGGTTGTGCTAGACCAGTTTGTACTTGTGATAGATTGAACCTGGTCTTGAAAGACGCTAGTTACTGAACATACATCTCAAATAAAGTAGACATGGTTTTATTTGAAAATGAAGACAGAAGAATAAAGTATATGAGAATAAAGCATATGAACATGGGCTCAGAAAATAAAATAAGCACAGAACAGGTATGAGCATCGGAAAAAGGGTCTTCTGTTTCACAGGACAGATAATGATGACACCAATGCCACAGATTTATCCTGGCCTGGCATCATCAGCACCATTGCCTTTCTCACCCTGGGTCAGGGTATAGGCCACAAACAACCACTTTCCACCTTTCCCAATCCTGGGCTAGCCTTTTGATGTTATTCCATGTCTTCCAACTTTCTGTACATCAATTTCTGTGACTCTTCTCCAGGTTCTACGCCATCTTCCCATTGATATTTTACACTGTGAGTTACAATCCAACACTTTCCTTGTTATGCAGCTGCCTGACTGGCATGAAAAGCGTTAACTTAAAAGAATCCAGACTTTCTTCCACCACTTGTCCAAATGTACACACTTCAAGCAACTTCCTTGTAATGACAGAATAAAGAGCATTTTATTTGTTGTAAGTATGGACATGACACCACGAGGATATCCTCCTCAATTCATCAGCATTTACAGTTTATACATCATAAAGCTTCAGGCATGCATAATAAAAAGCAACATCAAAACGGGACTAGTCGGGTCAACAGTCACAAGTGCGGAACACAAACAAGGTAGTCGGTGCAATCAATACTCATGGCTCAGCAGTAAATGGCAGATCCACTACAGAGGAATGATGAAGAAATGACATATGAAACGTGATGTGCAGCCAATGATGATTATAGCAACAAAAACTGAAAAAAAAACCCATACGTACATATACTTGCTTTTACGCCCCCTTCACCTCTTTTTTCAAACCAGTTATTTCTGAGACAAGACTAGCCATCTTCATCTTTCACTGATGGGACAATGTTAGAAAATAAACTGATTATACAAATGAAAATGTTGACAAGTTAGAGTATCACACATCTCTCATCCCATTTTCCAACCAGGTATTTCAGGTTTCACACAATTTTAAATGTAAAAAAACCCAAAACAACTGTACACTTCCTTTGAATATACTGGTTCATAGCCCACCCTAAGACTCTTACTCTTACCTATAATGAAAACCTGTTTAGTGCTGTAAATTCAGCACAATCCGAGACTCATGCATTGGAAATATTTTTTTTAAATGGCATGATCATCAAAGCTAGGGGGGTATCTGGCCACTACCAAACAGGTAGGGGGCGGAAACTAACATAAAAATTGTGTAGTATTTGTCAACGTGCTTAAAATCAAAACTGTCTTTTTAACAAAGCAAGATAAAACCCACTAAAAATCAAGTAAATAAAGCATGCGCAAACACCAGAGCATTAATGACACAGAAGAGAAAACAGCCCCATGCAAGACTTTCAGCACTTTGGCCAACAAATTAGATTCCCCAAAAGTATTTACATTACACATCATTAACATTCAGCTTGTCATGAAGGATAGACCCCCAAAAAAATCAGAAAAGACAAAGACCAACACAGCCAAAAAGTGATTTAGAATGCTCCTGAAAACCAACTAGAAAGGAAAGAAAAGAAAAAAAATTTATGCCAGCGAACTCAATGGGCTTTTAAGAAAGATTAAGAGTCCTTGAATTTCATTAGAAAAGGGAACGTGGAATATTTCAAGCACGTACATTAAAACAGTTGCACTAAAAGAATGAAATCAGAGGTCTATAGAGCAAACGGTATGGAGGAGTGGAGGGAATTGAAGAAGCACTGCCCATCAGCTGTGGCTCCCAACCATGATGATGTAGGTGTTGTGTTTTTTTACTCCCCCATCCATACAATATTTAACATTTAGGAGGCAGGCTTCCGATCTTGCCTGTTACAACTGTCAGAGCCAACCTGGCTGAGGGAGATGCAATATCCCAGCAGAAAGACACAGAGTAACCTAATAAAATTTTTTCCCCATTCTGGAATCAAACTCAGGTCTCCAGCACGCGACAGTGATGCGCCTAAACACTGGTCATGATGTCAACAAGTAACATGTAACAAAAGCCATAGAGCGGAAAGAGTTTCTAGGTTGTGTGTCCGTCTCAGAGACATGGACTCCATTCTTCATTGATGTGATTACGTCAGCGGAAAACACAGAAGAACCCACCAGCTTGGGGTGGAGTAAGATATTGTCATTTGAGTACATGGTGAACTGCTTAGAGACAAAATGAGACAGCTGTTGTTGTTTTTTTGTCGATTTTACTCCTTCATTGCCACAATTCAAATATTTCAGGAGATGTGCTGCTCGGACCCTGCTTGTTGACCCTGCAGCTCCTTTACAAAATACCCCACTTAAAAAAGCAGCAGCTAGCTAGAGGGAGTTGCGACTATTCTTGTTATAAAAAAAGAGTAAAACTGTAGACTTACATTGTATGACACATGTACATGAGGCTAAAACTGAAGAAAAAAAGAATATCCACAAAGAGGACAGGGAACAGAATCAAGTACTTCTGGCACCCATCTGACTAAAAGGTACTCTGCATGCAAAAAACACATTAATCTCATTCCAGCAGTAGACAGGACACGGTCACACACACAAAAAAAATGCTTCACACTCACACAACGCGGGGTCCCACAACTGAAGGTTAGCTCAGAAGGAGAAGCATCCCTCTAGCTTGATGTACCTCTTCAACAACTGACAAACATCTTTTTAACAATTATAAACGTCAGTGCCAAAAATAATCGGATTCATATCTCTGTCTTCACTGAAAGCCATTCCTGCTTACATCCTCAAAAATTTCATGAATATAAACAGTTACAAGGAGCACAGGGTCTTGTAATCAAACATGTGTAGTACCAACAAAATTCAGCAACAATAAAAACAGACCCCCCTCAAAACCAGTTACATTAATCAATTCATAAAATTCACCCAAAAAATGTAGGTCTGACAGATTACAGTGTATTTGATTCTTGCGGGTGGCAATGCACCCTTTCAATACTGGTCAGCAGAAACAAGAGCGTCAGACACCTAAGTCTTTCACCAAGTTCAACAAAGACAGCAACAAACATCAGAATTGCACAGAAGTGATACATTGTCAATGTGCTACGTTAATAGCCGAAGCTATTCTTCATAGTTTTGAGGATAATTTTTAAAAAAACTTTCTTATTCCATGCTTCCCCCCCCCCCCCCCACAGGCTACATGATTTCTTTTTGGTAACCAAGAATGTCATCAGAGTATTTACATTACTTTTATGATGAGGCAGTGGATCATTGTTAGGAATGACATAGTGGATTAATTTGCTTTTCAATTTTTAATCTTGACCAAGCACATTACCATAGCACGTTGACAATGTGGCATTATTGACACCTGTGGCAAAAATCACCCAACCAAATTCTCCCTTTTGATATTCTTTCCCCCAGTAAAACAACCCAGACCACAGATCATTCACACATGTCTGGAGACACTGCAAGCCACCCAATGATTCAATCTACAACAGGACTCAAAGTATTTCTACTTCAATCCTTCATAAGACTGCATTCATCAAGCACACCATTTAGTCCATCATTAAAAAATTATTGAAGAAAGCTGGCTTCCCCAGGGAAAAGATGAAGTCATTGAACTCTCCCTGAAAACAAATACTGAACACCAGGTTTTTTCAAGCGCTTTTCTTTCCATTTTGATCATTTAATTTATTGTGAACATTTTGAATTGCATTTCCAGTTGCCTAGTGTCATATGTTCCAATGCAGTAGTATTCCTTTTAAACAGTTAGTGAATGATTTGAATTCATGAATTTTTTGAAAAATCATGAATTTAAGTCACATGCAAAAAAAATAACAACCTGGTATAGAGTATTTCAAAACTTTCAACAAACTACTATGGGAATAAAGTCAAAAGAGGGTGAATGGCCACAAGTTACTGGAATAATAATCTATCTACTATAGAGACAACAAAAATATATTTGGACTTAGAATTTTATCACGGTGGTTCCGCATTCACCCCAAGTCACTTATCAATGTTTTAATAAAACAACTTAGGCACTAATAAATTTCTTTGTTTCCAAAAAGCACACAAAGGAAACCTAAGCACTGACCTAACTTTCCTGTTAAAGAACAAATACATAACTAGAAATAGCACAAAAGTTTTCTTCTCAGATTACAAAAAGAAAAAGAAAAAAAGGGAAAAAGAAACAACCCCCGCAAACAAAAAGCTTGAGAGATTATGGAATGAAAATGATGAACTGTCCATTGACAAAGGACAGCAATAGAATACAACTATAAATGCAATAAATTCAGCATGAATATACTTAGGGGCAAGCATCAAATGCTATGTACACATGAATCAGATCTTTCATCAGTCAACCTTGTTAAGAAGATCGGTGGATTATACAAATCTCAACTGCTTTCAAAAGCCATATATGAGATCAAAACAAACTATGCAATTTAGTTTCATGCAAACTCAGTAAACTAAGGACTTTGAAAGAGCTGATGACAACTACTTGGCAAAACAACAATCCCACTGTAGGCTGTTAAAGAAAAGCTAGAAAATGAACAGGCACAACAGACAGGAAAGCGAAAAAGAAAGTGTCCAGTGACTGTTCATCAACATGCGCAAGAAGATCTGTGTCAGCTCAGAGTTTATCCCACATTTAAAACCAGTTTTGCAAAAGACACCAACAAAAAAGCATTATCTGAAAGTTTGGCTGCAGATATCATTTGTCTGACATCCCAGTAGAAGCTATCAAGTCATTATCATATAAAATTTGTATTGTTTATTTTCAAAGAAATTTCTAATCACAAATAGTAGAGGCCTGCTTCAAACTCTTTGGTAAACATGTGGTCTTCAAACTAATATAGACAGTATAAAAATAATGCAAAAGGACTTGTGAAATAAATATCTCAAGACGAGGTTGTTAACAAGTTTGTTTTGATTCAAGTCAAGCATATCATACTATTTTGTTCTACTCGTGCCACAGCTCAAGTTTTTATCACATATATTTCTCTCTCTGTCCAGCTTATAACAACAGCGCTGTTCACAAACCTCAAACCTGGAAGACAAATGCTTCAGAAACAAATACAAGAGAGAGAATAAAATCAACAGAATACAAGAAAGCAAACGTTAAATAAAAAGAGGAGAGAGGCCCGGCAGCCACACAAGACTACCCAATCATACGACCAGAACTAAGACCAGAACAACCTTGCTCACAGGGCACTAAAATAACAACAGAGGTAAAACAAAAGAGGAACTGAAAACCTCCCACTCATCCACCATCCCACATGACCCACCACTGTACAGATTAAGACAATTCCCACGGAAACAGAAACATTTTTCCTCACCACCCATCAAACATCACAATGTTCCCAAATTGCTGAACTTCATGAGCACCCCCGGGAACTTGTCCTTGTACAACACCGGATCTGCTCTGAATTCTATTGCCTTCAGGGGCATGGAGCCGTACAGCTTCTCAAAACAGTTAATGCACTCGGATCGCTCCACCATGTGCGAGGTGTCCGCTGACAGCATCTCTTTCACGCATTCCGGGCATTTGAACTTTTTGCGAGGGACAACCTGGAAGGTGGAAGAAGAATTATTTTTTAAAGTTTAATGTAACAATTCAAAATGCGTCTTTTAAACATGCATTCCACAAGTAATGGAACACAGGAGCAGCACAAAATAAATTGTTCTATGTAAAGTGTTGTCTATGTCTGGTGTGTGTGTGTTTGTGTGTGTGTGTTTGTTTGAGTGTGTGTGTGTGTGTGTGTGTGGGTGGGTGTGTGTGTGCAGGTGTGTGTGTGTGTGTGCGTGTGTGTGTTTGTGTTTGTGTGTGTATAGGGGGGCAGGGAGGAGTAGACCACTTAAGCTGGCAAACAAACATATACTCACAGCAAACAATACTAAACATAAAATAAACGATGCCTACAAATACAACAAGTGTAATGTTTTTTTCAGAGCTAGGATAAAAGTCTTGTGCCCAACATACCACAGCAGCAATCAAATTCTCAGTGAGGAGTAGCAGAACAAAGAGTGGAACAAATCCTACAGCAGTGCACGACACACACAGCCCTGAGACATGACAGGTGGCTTACCCCTACCCCATCAACATTACAGAAGAAGCTGAATGGGCCAACAGAGGAACTAAAAAGAATGTACATAATAGATACCAGTCATCCAGTGTGATGCTATAAAGCAGATGAACAGTAATAAGAAAACAGCAATTAATTCAAAGCCTATCAACACATGCAACTGCTTAAGGGGGGCTCGAAATTTACGGGACAACATTTTCAACTAAAGACAAATTGAAATAACTTTTGTCACAGGCAGAAAGTATGAGACAAAAGATTCATGTTGAACTGTTGACACACTTGATTACGTAAGCCGTTGCCATGGAAAACAGCGGATATTTTTATTCTCTCTGCCACTTCTACAGTTTATAACTTTTATGAATTTTGTAACTTGCAAAATGTCACAAATAAATAGATGCTCGCAGCTGGCCACTTTGATTTTTGATGCTATACTTAGAAAGTATCCAAAATTGTTCTCAAAGTTGGGGAAATATGTAATTTCATCTTAAAAAAATATTTTTGGCATGAAAAAAATTTTGTAAAAAAAAAAATCTAAAATGTAAAAAACTTACCAGCCCACTACAAGAACAAATCATTTCTCTATCTACATGATAAATTTTAAGTCTGTGTGTTGGAAAATAAAAAAATTGTGGAGAAAATAAAACGGCATAAGCAAGTAAAAAGTGGTGAAAAAGTGTGTATTGAGAAACACAAGGTTAAACATCGCAAATGTTAGCACACAACATAGAACCCAATAAAAGCGAATTCTGTTAATTTTAGTCACTCAGCGACTAGTGTCAATATAATCTAGACTGAAGGAGGGATTGGAAAATACCAAAAGTAAAAAGTGTCAGAGTGAGTGAAAATCAGTCCCCGAGGCCCTAGAGCTCCCTTAAAAACTCTAATGAACAGCTGACAGTAAACATCGTACCACAGCCTTCTCCTCTTATCTAGAAATAGGACACACATAGAAATACACATCACGACAAAAATTATTCAAGGGTAAGCACACCATGTAAGAGTTGAAACTGAAGTGGAAAACCTTCACATCCTGACTTCCTTCAACATCATGACTCCTTTGAGACCTAGTATAAACCTATAAATTCTATTGGCACGGAAAAAAAATTGGTCCATCTTCAAACATACCATAGAGAGAGAGAGAGAGAGCAACCACACTAACATGGGAGAGACAGGACCACTACACATACTGACCTTGATCGGGGCTTTGCCCGTGATGTTTGTGACCAGAAAGTTCATAGCGATGTCCTCACAGTTGATGTGGTCGTCCACCCACTGCCTCAAGTTGCCTGGCATCCCGTATGTGTACATGAAGGAAAAGTACTGAAAAAGACATCAAAACACAGAGACAATTGCAGCATTTGTACCTGATCTCACAAATGTAGAACAACCTATGATAACAATGAGAAGATCTTAGTTTTAACGAGAGTTTTACTGCACTTGCAACACAACAAGGTCACGTTAGTGCTGAAGATTAGAGGAGTTACAAGAGAGTAACAAACACAAAAAAGGAGGAAAACTAAGGAGGATAAATGTTTGATAGAAAAGAAGCAAACCACACCTGAGCACCCGTCAACCACCCACTATGAGGAGATCAACACAGGGCTTTTACTACAAATTCACAACTCATGTCATAATCTCATAGATATGAAGACAATTCTTTGATAAAACAAACAAAAAAGTCCTAGTCAATTACCAAGAAACAATTTGTAGCTGGTTCAGCTGAGACAAACAAGTTAATGCCTCTCCTGAAGAAGAGACAAGCCTCAAATGCTGAGCTTAATATTTCTTCACTGTTTTTGAGGCTTCAAAGGCAACTATTTTATAATTACTGAAACGGTACAACCTCTTGGAGCTTCGGTAGTGCCTTTATAAGGATAGTAAAGTATAATAGTTTTTCCAAGGGAACAAAGTCCAAGGAACCTAACCCATAACTGTTGAAAAGTGGAATACTGAATCTAACCTCAAACATACTGATCCCCCACCCCCCACCCCCTCCCCCCCACCCGCTCAATCCCCACATTCCCAATTTTCCACACACAAAGACTCACTTTATGGTGGAAGGCGGCTCCAGTGAGCACCATGGAGATGGAGTTCATCCACTCAGACTCATAGCTGTAGCTCTGTGTCTCATTCTGCCACAAGTGGAGTCTTGATGGGTAACCCACCAGGCGGTCTGGGTTCTCCCGCCATACCTGCCACACAAAGACAACAAATGTTGTTAAGATTCGTGCAATGTTGGGGGAGAACAGGACGTGTCCTTAGTGTGCCACAAATAAAACAACCCAAAATAAACAGGATGTAAAGAAAACTTTTATAATCCTCCACTTGAAGAATAGAAACATGTTGTGCTGGATCACCCTCCAGTATAGATCAACAAACTATATCTTAACTTGTCTAGAAAAAAGAACAAAATGACTGCTCAGTGGAAGACTCCGTCATACGTCACTTCATTTTCAAAATGGCCTGTGCGGAGTCTAACACTAAGCAGCTGAAAAGGCTTCCTTATTGTCAATGATATAACATACCAAAATATACATTTCAAATTCAGTGTTGAATCCGAAATAGTGCAGAACTGAAGATCCCTTGCCATGACTGAAAAACTGTGATCACAGACTATTCAGACAGAGCTAACAACTTGTTCTTCAAATACGGTTGAAAGAAGAGAGCTAAACTGACAAAATGCTTATCCTCTTAATGGCAAGTCAATAGCAGATAATTTCTCAAGAAAGACAAATAGATGAGGCTGTCAAACAATTCACCCACCTCATAGCCAAACTCCATTTCATCGGCTGTAAGCATAATAATATCATCATCCAGAGCTAGAATGCACTCTGTCTCAATTTCATCATATGGGAAAAACCTGTAGAGAGAGAAAGAGAAAAACAATAAAATTTTATCTTCAAAGATTGTCTGCCAAGTATCAGAATTGCAGAAGGAAAAGGGTGAAAATGTATAATATTCTTAAGAAGTTCAGTGGGAGCCAACAAGGCTCACGAGAGATCCTAATGTGTTTAGCAAAAACAAATTCATTACAGATTACTTCCTGAACAGGCTTTTGTACACAATTTATTTACAGCAAATGGAGACGTTGGGAGAGAAAGAGAGAGAAAAAAGGAAGAGGAAAAGAAAAGAAGAGAACATTTGCATTTTGTTCCTGTCACAAGATACATAAATAAGTGCAAATTTTTGTTGTTGCTCCCTCCACACAATCAGATCGAACAAATGTTCTGCATTTTTTATTTGCTTGTTTGTTCACGTAAAGAGAAGCACATTGACTCAATAATGGTCAACAGAGGGAAGTAAAAAAGTAGGACCTACCAGTGGCACCCTCCAACCACCCACCAAGCATTTTTGAGGGGACAGCAAAGATTGTAAGAGTGTGAAGTGTGCATTCAATAGTGCTTGAGAGGGAGAGAGGGAGGGAGGGGCGGGGGGGGGGGGGGGGGAGAGAGAGAGAGAGAGAGAGAGAGAGAGAGAGAGAGAGAGAGAGAGAGAGAGAGAGAGAGAGAGAGAGAGAGAGTAGTGCGAGAGAGAAGCGGGGAGGACGAAAGAGAGAGAGAGAGAGAAAGGGAAACCAGTTGACAGGATACAGAGAAATAAAGGTGGACAGACAGACAGACAGACAGACAGACAGACAGACAGACAGACAGACAGACAGACAGACAGACACAACAGACAGATATATGAACATGTTAAAATGAGCTTACCTGTTACTCAAACGGTTGAACTTGGTCTGAATCACTTTGATTGGCTTCCCAATATTGGGCCACTTGGACACTGCAAAAATGTAAGTAGAAAGAAAAGATCACTTTAATTTATCTCAGCAGAAATCACAGATTATAAAAATACAAATCACACAAAACAACACAATCAAAGTATACAACAAACAATTCAAATAAATGTAAAAGAAAACACTTCATCCATACACACATTACAGTATAAAGTGCGGCTTACTGGCAGGTGGCTGTATTTCCTGGTTGTTCCACACGACAATGACCTTGGCCAGGCTGGGTACTTTGCCGACCTGTCGGACCACCTGGAAGAGCGAGTCCACTCTGTCATAGGTCAGGATGACTGCAGTGAAGCCCAGCGACTTTGGCGCCCTCAATGGCAGGAACAGTGGGTTTTTTATTGCTTTCTGATCAAAATACAAGACAAAATATTTGTTTGTCAGGACATTTGAGATTTGAGCAAAGAGAAGCACTTCAACACAATAACGGTCATATAGTTTGTTTGTTTGTTTGTTTGTTTGTTTGTTTGTTTGTTTGTTTGGGTACATAAAAACATATTGACACAATGATGATCATTTAGTGCTGGGAAAAAGCAAGACAGACAGACAGAAACAACAACGGGATAGTAAAGAAGTAGAAACTACCAGTGGCATCATCTAACCACCAAAATGATCACAAAGCGCAAGGAAGAAGTAACACAGATAGACAGAAGTAACAGAAGAAAAGATAAGAAGTAGGACCTATTTGTGGAACCCCCCAACCACCCAGATCAGGACATCCAAAGCTCGAACTTACAAAAATTCTTCATACACTCCTTGAAAATTAATATAAGCATAACATTTTGCCAGTGACAAATAATGAACAGCATTGAGACCTTGTTGGGCAGCTCATTCCACTGGTCGTAGGTGTGAGCATCAAAGGGAAACACCCTGTCGTTGAGTATCTGCAACATGGTGAGTGTAATGTCTGACAGTGAGCTGAAGTAGCGCTGCCAGAAGTACTGGAGCTGCCGCCGCATACTGATGATGCGATCCCGGCTGAAGTTCTTCAGCACATCCAAAACCTCAGGAAGCTGCTCTTCGTTGATAGTGACTGCAGCTCTGTAGGGTTAGAAAGAAGTTTATTGTCAGGCTGTGGCTGAAGGCGATTTCACACGACAATCAACACGTTTCACTTGGAACAGACTACAATGAAATACCAACACCAAAAAGAAGTAGAAGGAGCAGACTGTACAAGAGTGTCCACCAACCACCTGCTCAAAAACAGAGATTAAACAGATCTTCTGTGGCTCTGTTGTGCTTTAACAAAGCCAGTCACTTTCCAGATGTCGCAGAAAACTTTATCTCACTTGCATGGTTGTCTACAAGAGTTAATCTTTTCTGTGTTAAGATGCAGTTGCATGCAAATTTAATTTCGTTATACTTTTTTAGTTCATTTGCGGTAAAAGTAATCAAAGGTGAATTACTTCAAGAAAAATGTCTCAGTCAACATAAATAGCCTTTGCACTTTGTCCAGTATCAGCTATAATCAGCATCAGCTATCAGCTAGTTGGCATAACAAAAAGCTTTTTTTTTTTTAAAAACCCTCCAAAAAAAAAGAAAAAAATGTAATTGTTTAAAATTTTAAATCATCAAATAGAAATATTTTAAAAACCCCAAAATACCCCAGCTAAACCCATACAAAACAACAACAAACCTTGTCCAGTCCAGCACTTCATGAAAGGGTAGGAGGAAGCCATCAGCGACGACCACAGGGATGCATTTAGCTTTGAGCGCATCCAAAAAAGAAGGTTGCCCTAAACGGTTGCCACGCAACACAAGGCAAAATGTGGAATTCTGTGAAATAAACAGTTATCTACTTGGTAACAGCATTCTGAGAGTTAACGTGAAGCATTCCTGTTTTGTGTGAAGGAATAAAGAATATGTGAGGTTTGCTGACAAAATGAGTTACTTCTCCAAATTTTGCCTTATTGATACATCAATTTTATAGGTGGAGTTCGTACAATTAATAAGTGCGAAATAATAAAAGACATGAGAGACTTGAAGAAAATGGCATCAATTGAAAATCTTTAAATCTGACTCCAGTGTCAATTTTCAATCAATATCTCCATTTTTGGATTGCGAGAAGTAACTCATTTTGTCAGCACGTCTCACATAAGTTTGCAATGAGATGGTCAGACAACAATTAAAACAGTGATTTTAATTTCAGTCAGTTGGGCTCTCAGACATTCTCCAATATAAGAAAACAAGAGAAGCCATAAATTTCTTTGATTGAGCCAAGAATCTCAAGGAAAAAGAACTAAAAATGTCTAACTTTTGCGAGACATAGAACAAATTTCTTCTAGAAACCAGATAGCCTATATGTTCTGTGAAAAATGGATCAGGTCTCAGGGCACTATAAAAGTGCTCACACTGTTAACTTCCTCTCTATTGTGCAGTGTGACGGGAATGGGGGTCGGTGGGTGGGGACACTTTTATTTTTTTTATCACATAGTGGTACCAGAATGTCTGCAAAAACTTTTTATAAGACGGGAAATGGGTCGAAGGGTATACACTCAAAAGCTACTGGATTAACAAAAACAACATTCCACAGGATGAGTTCAATTGGCTTTTAAAAGCAAGATTTTTAGAGACGCCATTTGCTTGAATTAACAATAAAATAAAAAGCATAAATTTCTTTTACAAACACAATCAATCGATCAACCCCCCCCCCTCCCCAACCAAAAGAAAAAATCCCCTTGCCTTTCATACAGCTCTGTTACTTCTGTCTAACGTCCTTCTTTTCCCGAGTACTAAATGATAACTATTACTAGATAGATGAACTTCATTGAAATTCAAACACAAAAAACCCCCCACCTGCCTAAACAAAAATACATTAGATATTATGCTCCAGTAAAGCTGCATTCTGTGCCTGTAATAAGTTAGTCTCAATACTCACCTGCAGTACAGCAGGATATGAGTATTCTTTGCCAAGATAGTCACACCTCTCTGAGTAGTTGAATCCGTGACCTTCACATCTGTCCAGCAACACAACATCACTGTCTGAGTCGGACAATGCTTTCAGTTTGCTTTTATACTCTGAGTTCAAACCAAACTGTGTCGATAGCAGGAACCACTTCCTGTTCTCTCTGAATCAAACAACAAAAAATGCAAGTTACTGATCTAAACCGATAGTATGTTTAAATTGGCAGGCTGACTTTTGACAAGAAGCAGAAATTGCAAGAGCAGATTTGCCAGTCACACACCTCCCACATAGGAGTCTTTTTTCAGCAAAGTTGTATTACAATAAGCAGCCATTAATTGCATGCCACTTAGGTGGCAAAGAAGAACCTGAAAAGGGTGACCCTCAGGGCAAAGAACCATTTAATATCTGGTCTCTTCACACATGGAGGGTGGGAAAGAAGTATACAGTCCCACCCAGTACAGCATAGGGAGAGCTAAAACTGGTGATAAAAACTGAAAGAAAAATGACTATATACTGAGAATTAATATGACAAAATCCTTTCTCTGTCTCTTTCAGGTGTAGCAATACTACGTTATTTTCACTTACTAAAATTCTCATTGTCGGTACTTTTGTCGTATATGAATAAGAGCTTTAACAAGGGACAAAAAAAAAAAGAAGAAAGATACAGAGCCTAAATAAATTAAAATGCCAGCTACTTCGACCTCATTGTCGCATTTCAACGAAGCTGCATTTCAAAAAGCATTCAAGGGACCCTATCATGTTACATTCCAAAAGATCCACAACACTGTAAAATACACAGCACATGAACACTCATTGCCATAGAATAACTACCATGCAACAAGTACATTAAAGAAATGAAGCGCTGTGGGAAAGGACAGGACAAAAGGATATAGAAGTAGAAATAGAACTAAGAAAGTGGCAATGGATGGGACACACCTTAAGAAAGCCAAGCGGAAACATCCCAAGACAGTCACTGAAGTGGAACCCACAAGAAGCACGAGGCAGGGGTAGGCCACGGGACACAAGGAGGAGATGCATGGAAAGGGACATGAGAGAAATGAAGCTCACTTGGAACGAGCTTGGAAGGATGGCCCAGGAGAGAGAAAAATGGAAGGAGCTTGTATGTGGCCTATACCCTGCCAGGGGTAAAAGTCATTGATGATGACGAACAAGTACATTAGAAAGAACTATGTTATACCAAGTCGCCAATGAACAGATAGAGTATGCACAAGTATAGGATGAGAGAAGCACAAAGACTCACGTGTATGACACAAATGACAGCTCCACATCTTCTAATAGTGGATTGTACAAAGGAATTGTGACATCAAACGTCCTTCGGTATGTCCATGAGGAGAACCCTCCTCCAGCTACCATGGCTTTGCCTGAGTTCACCCCAAGGAATGTCTTGTAATCCGGAGCTCGGCCTGGTAGCATGTTGATAAGCAGATGGTTTTTACCCTCATTCCACCTGCACCAAAAAAAAACAACTAAAATAAAGTTTACTGAGTAGCATGCTACAATCAGAGAACAAATTGTCACTTTGAAAGCAGTATCTGACATTAACAAATTCACTGTTGTTTATTAAATATTTTAAATCTAGGTCGTTAAAACACACACTGTGTTACCTAGACAACAGAGATGCACGAGCATCATGAGTTCCATTAGTATGCCACTAACTATTTACTATTTGATGAACAATTTAATGCAGACAAAGTGAAAGTCGTAGTGTACAATGATTGTGCGAGCATTTTGTTTCGCAGAAAAATATAAATGTGCTCCACAGGTTTTCACTAAGAAAGAAATGAGCACGGACTTTTATTTTACAGAAAGGAAGCAATCAGAATGTCATGAAAAGTCAGTAACCTCATACCACACAGCTTACCAAAATTAATATTGAAATTCAGTACTGAAGCCTCTGGATGAGCAGAATTTCTGCATATACGGGTTGACCAGCTGCACTATTTACTGTCCTATATCACAAAAGGTGTGCCCATCCAAATATGAAGAGGATTTTCATTTCACAAAAATACATACCCATATGTAATGCAAAGGAGTGGGTGATAGGCGGGCGTCACAGCAGTTTATATTGACTTATCTATTTTTTTCTATCTTTTCTCATCAACTGACTGAATGACAGGCTTTATTGAAAGAGCTTTTCTCCAGCTCAACAAATAAAAAAGCAGTATGAAAAGGCATCTGAGGATGCTCTTTATCCTAAAAGACCCCTCGCCATCTTAAAATAATCCAAAGAGCCTAGACAGAGGATTTAGAAAGTAAAGTTTGCGCTACAGATAGTCAACAATTATATACTCAAATTCAAACAACATGGGGAAAATTGTAAAAACTTACCACTTCAAAGATGCCAGTATCTGACTGACCTGGGTTTGATTCAACAGGTTTTCATTCAAAAGGTCAATAGAAGGGATAAACAAGCACGCAGTCTCTGGATCGTGGGAGTGGTACGGGCTCTCTGCAATCACCTGCAGCATTTCCTCAAACTCACGAGACATGGGCGGAGTGATGTCATTTCCGTTCTCATCATAATACTGTTGGATAGGGTAGATGTACACGCTTATTGTGGTACTGTCATCATAACCACAGTGATAGACTTCTAAACACGTGAAGTTGTGATAAGTGCAGTTTGTATCTCGTGGCTCAGCGTGAGGTGAGGAGGACATAAGCACCACCTTCTCATCACTTTGTAACTCTGAAGCCAGGGTCCTAGACAATTTGGAGTCTTGAAATGGAGCCAGCCACCAGAAACCAAGCACAACAAAGGCAAAGCCTATTAAGAAAATTCCAGAGTAGAAAGAGGGGCACTTGCGGCGAGCCATTACGACAATTTCCAAATGGCCCTCGGCCACTAGGAGGTTGCTACCGCTGGAGAGTAACGCTTTCATTCATGCGACCATCACTTCAGCTCTGAAAAAAAAAAGGAATGTATATTAAGTTATGACATGGTTATTGAGTAAGTAGCTTGAGGGTTTTCTTTCTTTCATTTAATATATTTTAAAAGTTAGCAAAAATAACAACAGTCGAACCTGTGTAAGAAAGAATTTTCCATCTTAGACAGGGGAATTTAGTGGGGGGGGGGGGGTTCAAAGGTCACTTGTCTGGTCAGCAAGCAGTCACAGGGGGTCAAAACTTCACACCTCTCAGCTATCCTCTCTGATAATGACATGTGAAGGGGTACAAGTACAGAAAATAATGGCTTGCTAGAATAACCTCCTAACTAATGCGCAAGGTAATTTCTCCTTTGTACACTGACACTTTTAAGTTTTCAAAAACTTCCTGAAAACTCTGCTCCTTAACCTATTGGCACAAAAATGAAATACAAACTAAATAGAAATGAAAGATCCTTAAAAGCAATAATTAAGTCTGCAATAACACGCAGCTTGAGCATTTAGAATTTGCTGTGGTTTGGTTAATTTTTGTTACAACTCACTGTAAACAACCAGCAGAACTCGACCGGCGCACCACTACTAAAACTAAGAGTTGAAACATATTTAGTCGTAGTGCATTTCAAATTTCAAAAAGCAACTACTTACTTTACTAAGTTAGTGAGTGTTAGTAGCCTAAATTTTAAAATGCAAGTGGCTATTTTCCGGCGTCGCGCCAGTCAATAGACTGATGGCTATTCTCCGGCATCACTTCTCCGCAGCTTTCCATCTCCCCTGTCGGCACGTTACAGTCTTTTATTGTTGCAACTGAGTTCAGTGCCAGATGCGCTTTCTTTTGTACATCCGGCTGTGACTGAGGGTTGTTGGAGCTTCTGGTGCTGTCACTTCTGATACAGAAATTCCTCCTTCTACCATCACTGGAGCTTTCATTGAGTGTTTGTGAAAGGTATTTGTCGATAGGGGAGATAGAAAGCAACATGTGCAACTATACATGACGCCGGAGAATAGCCATCGATCTATTGACTGGTGTGGCGCCGGAGAATAGCCACTTGCTTTTAAAATACCATTATGTAAAAATAGAAGATTTTTAAAAGATTCATTTAGTTTGGCTTCTTCTGGAAGGTTTGCGTAACTTGTAATGTGGTACAAATGAAGAAATTAAGTTTGTTGTGTTTCGAACAGAGCATTCATTATTACAGTTACAAGCATGACCCTCACATTTACACACAATCACAAAGTCACAAAGTCAAAGTAAGCAAACAACCAAAGAATTCAAAGAAAATGTGGTACTAGGTACTATCTCGGAGGAAAAAAGTGACTTCAAACCAAGCAAGTAAACTAGCTCCTTGTTTGTTGACCGAAGCTTCTCGCCCCCCCCCCCTCTAAAATATGAGCCTAGCCCGAAAAGGCCGTGCTAGCCCCATAAAGTGACAACAAATAGCTCTCTATGTAAGATTGAACTTTGGTGGACCCACCGAATGAAGCCGGAACTACTTTTGAGCCTCGCAGTGCAATGAATGCCATACAACTGTCCGTTCTTATTTAATCATTTTGCATTTTATGGGTGTTTTTTAAGAATTATAATTGTTGCCAGAGACTGGGACACCCCCCCCCCCCCCCCCTCCCCTGAACTTCAGGACTGAAACCCCCAACTGTTGGGTTGGCGGTAATCGTTTACTTTCTCACATTTAATTCCAGCCGCGCCTAGATCTAGACGAAACTCCATTCCATGCATCCCTGACCGGATATATTCAAAACTTTGCACAGCACTGGAGTTAAGAATATGTAAACCACGGCAATCTCATCATTTGCAGGTAGTAACATACAGGCTTTAGGCCTTTTGTACTGATTTTGATGGATAATATTCATAGAGTTCAGAATTGTCGCTCGTTACGGAAGTCCTCCCCCGGAATTCAAGGTGAGAAAGTAAACAATTAGCACACAGGGTTGGCTTCAAGAATGTAGATCTAGATATCTAGATCTAGAGCGCATTAGACATCCCGTTAAACGTAGAAAACGTACCTTTCTGATTGGCTGCTAATTTTAGTAATGTGATGTCATGATCTGGGATACCCATAGACTATTTTAAGAAGGCGGAGGAGGTACCGCATGATAGAATGACGTGTTTCCGGTATATTAATAACATTCCGGAATTCCAGTATTGAGACCGTATGAATGTCAACAATTTCCTTTGATTCATTGAGACATTGATGGGTTTGAGCTTCCTAATTTTCCGGTTCACTGCGTCTATTGAATCCATTCTTTAAACATTTCCTCTAGATCAACCATATATAAAAGAGACTATTCATCATCGGAGCACCGCATCATATCACATTACCCGTCTGGAAAAACATCGCACCAAAGCGTCGTGCCATTCCGTTGGCTATATTTACATGATATAGTCACATGATTCAAGGGGTGGTCCGCTCTGACGTCACACAAAATAGCCGCCCTACCTAAAAATAGTTTGCGTCCTTCTGCATTTAATCGCATGAGAGCATTAGTCCACCAAAGTGATATCCGGCCTAATAATAATACAATACAGATCTAATCTCAATAATTATAATATATATATATATATAGACAGTCTACCTTACATTCATTACTAGATGGAAGTGGCTATCCTCACCCGGGGTGAGAATAAAAATACGATCGACCTCTCACCCTAGGTGAGACTTGCCAGCGTTGGCTATTCTCACCCGGTGCGAAACAACACACCTGTTTTTCCAAATTTCGGAATATACTGTCTATCGGTGGGGATGATCAAATTGACAAAAGCAAAGAAAAAAATGACGTTATAGCACAAAAGTAAGCTAATTTGATCGTCTACAAAGATGTACTATGGCTATTTCACTTTTCGAATGGAGCCGAACTACACGGGTCGCCATTTTGTTTTGCCCAGAAGTTCTCACGCCACTCCTCTCTCTCTCTCTACAGACAAAATTGCACCCCCTTTTTAGGCTAACAGTAGTAACACAAGAGCGCTGGAACTTTTGTTCATGGCACAGAATTCTACAATTCTGTTATCACAGTGTAGAATTCAGTGGTTCAGGGTGAACGCTGCACTGGTTGGCCTAGGCTATAACATAACGCCAACGGTGAACGCACACCAGGTGAGAATAGAGGTGGCCTTACTAGATATCTAGATCTAGATCTAGAAGTCTAGATCTAACTTACAATGTACAGCAGAACAGGGTGTATCTAAACACACTACCACTTCTACTAAGAAAGACTAAGTTAGTAAGTCAAGTTAGTAGAAGTACTGGCTCTTCAAGGCTCTTGACATTTTACCTTTAAGTTGCAAAGTTGTGATAGGAGACACAATAAGGGCATTTCTTATAATCCATCTTCACTAGATCTACTTAGTAGCACAAGCTCCACCAATTACATGTTATCGCATAAGCTAATAAGTTTGGGACTAGATCTAGAGGAGCATTTTATTCAAGTTCCAGCCGAAGTGCCACGATCGATGGCATCGATATCAGGAAGTGGGTGAATGAAAGGAACTTCCGCCTTTGTCTTTTTCTTTTCTTACTGCTAAATCTTTCATACAAGCAATGTCAAGCATTTTCATCAACACTTTATTATGCAATTATTAGCCTATGCTTGTCCACTTTCACTTTTTCATCCGAGCGGTTCTGAAGCTGCAAGACGATTAGGACTAGATCTAGTTTTATCGTGCATTTAAGTTCAAGAAGGAAAATGAAAATAATATAGCTTACAAGGAAAGAAGGGTCATTTTAGTCAAAGGACAATTTAACAAGAGCTTCATTTGAAATGCTGTAGTGCTGTAGATCTTGTTTTGCCAGGTCAAAAGTCAAGAGCAAGGCGAAGGCAAAAAAGCACGAAGGATCAAGGTTGTTTCTCCCCCTTTTGTCATAATAATAACAATAACAAAACTTGGTACCGGCATCCTGCATATTCTAGATCTATATATCAACCAAATGACCAGCTCTGTCTAAAAGTGTCAGTATTTTTCAGAATATCCTCTCCATGTCATAGTCATGACAAGCTTACCAATGTTTGGGAATGTTTGTAGGAAATGTCGAATGCATGGACATGGTGTTATGAGTTCCCTGAGGCTGAGGATTATGAATAATGTGAACCATGAAACCATGGGCAAAGTCACCCCAATATGTGCATCACCAGTTGCCATAGCATCCTCAATCAAAGTGATTTGGGGACCTGTGAAATATTATTCAAGTTACAGTGGTGCAACAAAGATGAGTGCGTGGCAGATTCACCAGTATGGAAGAACAGAAGAACTGTCGTTTGTTAAAGCAACGAAGGCAGCCACAATAAAAAGCCCCAATGAAATACTCGTCAAGGTGCATGCAGCAAGCGTTAATCCTATTGATGTGCGAATGATGGGTAAGAGTGTATCACATTCAGACTCTGATCTTTTAATTGATAGTTAATGTTGGCAGGCTACGGTCACAGCGCCCTTTAGCAGTTTGCAGGCACTGTAGTGTTGAGGCTACGTTCACACAACTCAAGCTTCGTTTAGGGAGAGCCCCCACTATCGGTTTAAGCAAGCCGGTTTCAGTCAGTTACGACAGTGACATATATTTAATATTTTGGCCTGCTTCAAGCGTTCCATCCCATGAGATGAAGGAAAACAGCAGTGATCCTTGTCCGATCCTCCATTCGTCATTTTCCCTCACTCTAGCTCTTGCTCAGAGCTCGCCAGTATAAGGGAAAACGACGAACTCTCAATTAGGTTACAACGCATTAGGATATATGTGACAAAAACCTAAAGGCTACGCCTACCAAGATGTTTCAATTACCCTATCTCGCGTCCTGACGAGACTTGGGCGCTACCTTGTGTTAGCGCGTGACGGCCCGTGATATACAAGTGTAAACAAATGTTCCAGCGCTCTCAAGTTGAAAGTGTGCAATTTTGTCTGCGGGCAGTGGGTGTGTTTGTGTGTGGGTGTATGAGAGAGAGAGAAGGTGGGTGGGGTGGGGTGAGAGAGAAAAGAGAGAGGGGTAGAGAAGAGGGGGGGGGGCAAGAAAGAGGGAGGGAGAGACAGACAGACAGAGACAGAGAAGAATAGAAAGAGAAGGGAGGGGGAGAAAGAGAGTCTATTTAAAGAGAAAGGGGGGAGAGAGACAGAAAGAGAGAAGAGAGAGAGGGTGTTTGTTATTATACGAGGGGCATACCAAAAGTTTTTTTTACCTGATCATGAAGGAATAAAGGTAGAAAGCTGAAATTTGGTTCTAAGCTTAGTCTTTCAATCATTATCCGCCTCCCAGAGTTATGTTTGCCATCTGTGAATGACCTTTAAAAGACCTTGAGAATAGAGAACCCTCTCTGTGTCAGAAAACCAGCCCTCTACCGCTTCTTTGACCTCATCATCACTTTTTTTTACACTGAAATTTTATCACAGCATAGGATGGGCAATCGACTCCATATGCTGCACGCATCTCCATAAAAATATCCTGTAGTTATTTGCCTTGCTAGAACAAATACTTCATTACTGCCCTGTGCTCATTTTTCTCCATTTTTATGTTGAAACTGGAGAACAACGTACCCCCGTTCACTTACAGTGCGCTGGTGATAAAACCAGTTTTAATCTCAAATTCCCTGAAATTTACTGTCATTCTAGGAAGATAATTGTTGGCTTTCACCCCAAATTTCAGCTTTCTTCCTTTATTCCTTTATGGTCAGGTAAAAAACTTTTGGTATGCCCCTCGTAAGAATATTGATTCCCGTCATTTTCTCTCTGCGTCGGTTCCCAGGCTGACCCGATGCAATACAGTCATTATTGTACACATTTTATGACCAGTTCCATCTTTCGAATCCCACCTTCTATTTCCCATCCCTCACCTCTTCCCATACCGTATCCAATTTTCCTTATCCATATCCCGACTTTAGTTCTGTAAGGGCGCTTCGTTTTCCTTCATCTCATGAGATGGAACACTTGAAGCTGGTCAAAATATTAAATATACGTCAGTGTCGTCACTGACTAAAACCGGCTTTACTAACATAAACCGGCAGTGGACGCTCCCCATAAATGAAGCTTTAGTGCCATGAACGTAGCCTCAACAGCGCCTGCAAACTGCATTCAGGGCGCCATGAACATAGCCTGCCAAGTTATGTTCACGGCGCCGTGAACGTAGTCACTGTGTATTTATTTAATAAAATAATGAAACACGGTTGAGCCTGCTCTTACAACCACTTTTCAAAGATGACCACCTGTACTAACGACTACTTCTCACTTCCTTCCTTGTGTTTTTGCTTGTAATGAACCTGTCCAAGATGGCCACTTGCCCCACATGACCGCTATATTTTATTAACCAACATCCCGAAAAGCTGTCCAAGACACTTAGCCTTAATGCGGAGGAGGTAATAGAAGAAATGACAACTACCATCAGGCCTATAAATGCTGGTGATAGTTTGACTTGTCCTTACTTCAGCTTTTGATTATAGTATGACAAGTTTCCCATGTGCCTTTAGCACGACAACTGAGAGTTTACAGCTTGAACTATCGTAATACTGATTTTTTACCGCTACTGTATTTCAGCCAGGAATCACAATATATCATTTGAAAATATCCATAAAAATGAAAATAAGCTTGAAGGAAAGATAAATCCCACTTTATTCATCCCCTTGAGAAATTTGTTTTACAGTACATAAATACACAAATACATTAATTAATACATGATATGCATGAATAAAACACAATGTCAGAAACATAGACTATCCACAAAGCATTGCAGGTGGCCACTGTGCAACGCCCTGTTTTTGAGCTACTGTCATCGTGCCTTGCTCAAGGACACATGCCTATGACCCACGCTTTGTCACTGACACACCCTTGACATTTTACTCATCTTTTCATAACCACTCCCCCCTCCCCCCCCCCCAAAAAAAAAAAAAACTAAAGAAAGAAATACTGCTTTGTGGATTTCCCATATTTGCTTTGACTTTGAACCAATCTGTGCTGAAAAGTGGATAATGCTCACATTTTTAAAAAGTAGAATATTATTGGAAAACAATAGCTCAAATCTGGAGTATTTTATAATAATACTGAATACTACTTTCTTTTACATTTTGGAATCTGAAGAGAGTATGATTTCTTCGAAAAAGTGACACATCATAGGTCGGGCTATAGAGAAGAGATAAATGTTTGCTGATCTGGAACACAGACTAATCTAATTTACAAGATTTTTATTAGTAGAAATGGGTTTTTTTTATCAGCATGCTGTAATTTTTATTATTTACAGATGGATATGGGCGGAAACTCATCAATGTACTACGCGCTCAGAAAGGTTTTATGAAGTCAGGAACAGAATTTCCTTTGATACTTGGGAGAGACTTTTCAGGAACAGTTATCGAAACAGGAAGAGGTGTAAAAAAATTTCAAGCTGGAGATGAGGTGAGAGTGAATATTTCTTACCTGTTGTGAGTTAATGAAATAAAAGCCATTGTAAGTAGGTTTTTCTGTAGAAAAGGGGAATATATTCAATGATGTATTTGTTGGACTGGGCTTGGAAGTATGAAGAATAATTCTGGCGTTTTCCTTTCCGTATTATATCAGATGTGTTATTTCCTGAATTATATAAGATGTCACTGTTTATGACAGTGGCTATTGAACTGTTGCTTTTTGTGCATGATTATTTGTTTATCGCTGTATGAGCTTTAAGGATTAATTAAGCAAAAATGTATTTGTTCACATTATTATATTTTCATTTTAATAAAAGTAAGAATTTTAATGTTTTAATATTTTTTCAATATATGAGGACGGTTTATAATTACACAAAGAAGAAAGTTAAGTAATACTCTTGAGTTCACCTTGTTTTTCTTGAGTAACATGGAAAAATATTAAGTTTACTAAGAGGTGCATGTCCTCATGGCTGACTGTGGATTGAATATGATTCCCTTTTCGTCCATGTTTTCCTGGCTGATTATTTAAAGGGGGTGTCTTGAGTGAACTTTTGAGACAAATAAATGGTCAGTTGAGAGGTTGTTACTTTGATTTCCAGTGGTTTTTTAGGGAAGGAAACAATGGGTTTTTAAAATCCTGCTTTAAAAAATGAATTTAGTTTGCAGTTTTTTAACATGAAAAGATAACTGCTTCTATTGTTACCCCATGCGATTGTGAGCTAGATTGAATATGATTCCTTGCTCATTGACACATATGACAGTGGTCTGTGATCAGATGCTGTCACCACAGACTTTGCTGATCTTTGTTTGTTAACCGGTGAAGTTCTCTGACTCTCAGCGGTGGGATCTTGTATTGTTAGAAAAGATACAATACCTGCATTCGTATTTGTAATATAATATATTAAGTTTACATGTCCATTGGTAGAGTGCCAGGCAGACATTTGGTTTTCTCCTTTTGTTTTATTTCTCTCTGGTTCTTACTTTTATTTAGTGAAAATATCAGTAGAGTCAAAGTAATATTATGAATAGTAAATAGTAACTCTAACTAAAATCTTATTTAAAAAAACAAACAGTACAAAGATATGCTTGGATATGGTCAGTCCAGTAAAAGTGAATGTCAGTTTTATATATATAAAATATATATATTGACCACTTTGTAGGGAAATGATAAATGATTTTCTTGAAATTTTACCCCTCCAATGCCTTACCAGACAGTTCTGAGTTGTTAGGTAAGATATTATTGCACTCCTGACAATGAAGAGGTCAAAGAACCTAATAAATTGATGGTTAGGTGCACACATAAAATACAAACAGAAAAGTCTCACATTTCTTGTCCTCGTTGGACTGAATGATTAAAAAAGAAAATCTCCATGAAAGACATAATCAAGTACTGAAGAGAACAGAATTGTTGAAATACAACGGTCAGCTTTGTCCCAACAAATCACTTTTCGGCGATGTCTTATAAAAATTCAGTGTATTCACAGCCACTCCTTGAACTCTGTGCAGTTTTTCTCCTTGCCATAATCTTTTCAACTTCCCCTCTCTCTCTCTCCCTCTCTCTTACTCTTTGCGTAATATAAGAGTAAGCTGTTAGTTTATTGATTGATGAGTTGGAGATGATGTCGATAATATTAACTATGTCACATCTGTTGGTCTCTTTTTCTGTCATTTAGAATGGCTTGTGAACAGGTGGGGACCTCAACATATTAAAATCAATAATTAAACCCTTTTTGGGAAAGGCAGGCTCACACTCAGAAAAATCTCTGCTTTTAAAATAAAATCTCTTGGTTGTTTTTGTCTGATACGCGATACACTCTTTTGTATGCATAATATAGCCGTCTCCCCCCCACCCCCCACCCCTCCTCTAATGTGCACACCGATTCACAAGGTTACTCATTATAATGAATTTTAAGAGGAGACTGAGTCAGTGCATATCAGCTGGAGACCTAGCCCACTGAATGTTAGAACAGCAGCTAGCCTGGAGCTATAATTGGAGACTTTAGCAATGTCAAGAGTCCAAAGGGCCATAACTTAGTATGAAAAGGACAACTGTGTGCAGTCTTTTTAGATGCAAGATGGAACTGAAAGAACTGAGCTTTGTACTCTTCAAATACATCAGTATTTATGGAAGGCCATGTTTATTATTGCTGCTTATGTTTTCATAAAGATTAATCAAACTCAGATATTTAACTTAATGGACTGCACCTATCCACGTTTTTGTTTGAAATTGTACATATATCTCTTGTTCACAGCAATATATCTGGCTTAAAGATTTTATTTTTATGGTGGGTAATGAAAGCTGCAAAAATATCTCTCTCCTTAGAATAGGACACATCGAGGGTTTGCAGCTCAAGTATCGTAACTCAAGGTTTTGTTGAAAATCTCTTTTTTTAACATTTTCCGGGGCACATGCCCTGTAAAAAAACCTCAGAGTCATGCCCTTATTTTGTAAAAATACACATTAAATTTTAATTCCAGGTACTGGTGATGAATAAAGCGTTTTAAAATCAGTTTTTTGCTCCTTCTGTAAAATTTGAAAAATGCGAGATCAATAGTTGTGCTGCCTTCCTGCAATATGTTAATGAAAGCAATATTGCCAAAAGTGTAGACTAGAAGCTAAAAGTAATAGATTTCTGTCGAAATTTTGAATTTTTTAACATGGAAAGTCATGGTTAGAAATAAAGATGTAAAACAAACAATTTTGTTTCTGAAAATAAGTTGTTAAAATTAATTGATATTGGTGAATATGGCTTTTTTTTTTCTGCAATAGTAATAAACTAAAAGAAAATACTATGTTTTCCTCTGTTAAGTTCTCATTTCCTTTTTATAGGATAGCTGCTTTTATGGTGAACCTGAGATTCTACCCCTGAAAGACATGGACTGTATTTAGCAATGTGCTAAACTTAAGAAGAGACAACAACAATAGCAGCACCCACCAAGAAAAACAACTGAAATAACCACCGTCAATTATTGATAGCTTATTTGCTTCATATAATGTCTTCTCCTTCCCTCCAGGTTTGGGGAGCTCTGTCTCCGGAGCGGCCTGGAACACATGCAGAATATGCTGTTGTCTCACAAGATGAGGTGAACATCTTTCTGTTTACCCCCCCCCCCCCCCCCCCCCCCCCCCAATATTTTAGCAAATTTTATCTCTTAGAATTAGATGAAGATTCACCGTTCACAACTTTCCAAAGAATCTAATTTATTGAGCAGTTGTTGCTGAAACAGATGTGATATATTTATTTTTAAAACATTATTATAATCATGTGATATAGTAATTGTATCAGAATGGATAAAAAGGTTCCTCTGAAAAAAGGCAGTTAACTCTCCAGTACTTGAATTTAGACATTTGAATGTTTGTGGATTTCAGTTGTTGTGTTGCGCCTTGGTTTGCATACTTTCTCCACTTTTAAGATAATTTTCAGTGATAAAAATCAGGGATGATTTTCTATTCTTTGGAATTGTAGTTTCTATTTCCTTAGCTTATTTTTGATAACTAAACTTTTTTGTTGAGTTTAGCTGCACCAAAAGTGTGATTTCTTTTTAAAGGGTTTTTGTGAGCTTGTCATTATGACTAGTTCTGTCTGACGACTTTAATTGTCAGCAGTTGTTTGAAAGAAGACGTTACTTTTTCCCGTCAGATTTCCTTAAAGCCAAAGAACATAATGCACACAGAGGCTGCCTCTATTCCCTATGTGGCAGCAACTACGTGGGCTGCACTGTGCACTGTGGGGGAGCTCCGAGAGCACAAAGCTGCTGGAAAAAGGTTAGGATCAGATGGTGTTCTACATTTATCAAAATCAAAATAAACTGATGAAGAGAATCATGATGAGACTTAAGTTTGTGAATGAGTAATGGTTTTTATCTGTGAAAATTTTTAGCTCCTGAGAGGGGATTTAAGTTTAAGAACTTTCTGACTTTGAAGCTATTTGATTTTGATTCTTTTTTATTTGTTCCCTCATTGTTCGTGTCTTCATTTTATAAAGAAATAAGTCCTGTGCCAAGCATAGAGTATAGTACGTCACAGTAAATGAGTAAGGATTCAAGATTCATCAGTTATGACATTTTTTGTCCACATCATATTAATAGTATAATGTCACAATCTTAAGGTTGGAAAGTAAATGAGTGGGGGGTAAAAGCATGTAGTGTAAGAGCTCTTTTCTTCTTGAGAAAGGAACAATTTTTTTTTTTTTCAGGCTTCTAGTATTGGGAGGCTCAGGTGGAATCGGCACCTTCGCTATACAGGTATGCTAGATTTCTAACAAAATTGGGGTGTACATAGTCATCGTTGTACTACTTCCTGTAGGTTTTTTTTTTTGCCCCACAGTTATTGGAAAAGAAATATTAAACTCACTGAGGATGCGCATTCTGGTCGTTGGGCAACACTTGGAGATGTGCTGTTTTGAGGCGCTTCATTATTCATACGATTCTATTTTACAAAAATGTTTTCTTTTTCTGAAACTGTCAAAGAAATACAACAGCATGCACTCTATGAAATGTGCAAACGTTCATTTCTAATTTGTGTATAGTGGTTTGAAATGTGCCAAAACATTGCTTTTGCTCTACTACTGGTCAGACAAATGTGTGTGTGCCTAAAGAAAGGTACCAAAAGTCACCACAGACCATTTTGAGCTACAGGCTGATCATGACAAAAATCACTTTTTTGACCAAAATGTGTTTCCATAAAAAGAATAATAGTTCCACCATTTTTTAACAATGTGTTGAAAGGGTTTTCATTGATTTGACTTCTAAATATTTTGTTTTGAATAATTTCGAGACTAAGGTATTGTTTAAAGAGATAATGAAAACTGCTTTTAGATGGTGTTAAAATCTATTCTTGAAGCATGTTATCTCTTCCCCGCTATGTTTTACCAGAGAGGGTTCACAGTAATAGAGAGGTGACACTCATGGCGGCGTTCCATAACAACAGTGCATTGTTTCGCGTATCACCTGGCGCGGGGTGCGAAAACCCCTACGCGCGGTGATCGCTGCCACGGCGATGTTCAGGGATGCTGTCATGTCATGAGAAAATGTAGTACCATCTGTAGTTTGTTCACTGGGTTACTAGGCCTTTAACAAAGAAGGAGGCCTGTGATTTCTATTGCATATTTTAGGCAACCCCCTGCCTCCCTCGGCCATAAACTGTAAGACTTGTTTTTGGCTTAAGTTAACATACATTCTAATAAACAAATAGACACAGATACATTACTTCACCTCTATAGATCTGAAAAAATAATATCACCGTAATTAAAGGAATAATCGGTTTAATTTTCAGCAAATTTACCCGTTCTCCAGTGTCCCTCTGTCTCTCCCTCTCCCTCTCTGTCGGTCTGTCTGTCTTTTTTTCTCTCCCTGTCTCTTTTTCCCTCTCCCTGTCTCTTTT